TAACTAGAAGGAAATATCCTTCGGTCGTTCCTTTAACCTAGCAATAGTAGTAGCTATTAGATAGCCGTAGGATAGTAGGGCAGTCTTATAGTAGAATACCCTAGGTCCGCTAGTCTGAAATAACGAAATCTCTAACTTATAACTATTATAGTTAAACTCCTTTCCTAACGCCTTTCTAGCGTCCTCTATTCGGTAAAGGCCGATAATAAAACTACCTGCCTAATAGACTGCCTCTTTAATGCCGCTAACTAGAATAACGCCTAAATAAAAGGCCGCCTTAAGGAAGGGATATAGACGCTTAGGAAGGTCCGCTAATAGGGCCGGGGGCTACCTAACGAATAGGTGCCTTCTATTAGCGTACTAATATATAGTATTATCTAGTATATTACTTTAGATATTGTCCGTACGGACTAATGTCTTAGTTAAAGTAACCCGTAGTTTAAATACAGAAGTTAATAGGCATAAGGTAGAGGTAGAGCTACTACCTATACGCGATGTGCTTAACCTAGAGATAGAGGCTTCCTTTAAGGATCTAGTAACTTCTTTAATATTCGAAGTGCGACCGCGTAAATTAGAGGTAGTCCTTAAGGCCTTCTCCTTTAGCGCTTTACTTTTCTTCCTTAGAACTCTAACTTAAGGGGAACCGACTATTAATAGGGTAGTCCCTCTCTTCTTTCTATATAGAGCTACGGGAGCAGAAGCGTTAGAGGTAGACGGGCGGGCCTACGAGGCAGACCTAGGCGGGGGGTTCCTTAGCTAGTCTCTATTACCTCCTTTAGGCTAGGTTAGACTTTCGTCCTTATTAACTTCTATAGTAGTAGCGAAGGGGTAGCCTTGTTTCCGGTTTAGGTACTACGAGTTGAAATACTTAAGGCTCGTATAGCCTAGGTAGCTATAAGGTTAGGTCGGGGCTTCTTTAATATTAGCGGAAGGGCTACCCTCTACCGCTATTATTACCGCCCTCTCTGCCTTATTACTCTCCTACTTTTCTTTCTTCTTGCTTTTACGTTCCTTCTTTATAGCGCGTTAGTCCTCGACCTTATTAGGCTTATTAGCCTAATCCCCTAGGTCTTAGCGTACTATCCTTAAGAAACTAGCTACAAATGCATTAGTTTCTAACAACTATTTACTTAGGCTTAGAGTAGTATCTAAGTCCTCGGCAGACTTACTATTACTAGTTATATCTAGCTAGTTCTTACGTAAACGTCTACTAGCTTCCTTAGACAAGCTAGTAACTAACAAATTTGATAAGAATAGTTAAAAACTCGGAGGCAGACGTAATATTTAGCTATTACTAGGTCTTACGTTGCAAGAGTTGTCTATTATCTTTATTAATATATTAGAGGCTTTTAGGCGATTCGACCGTCGCTAAGGGGCACTACTAACCCCTAGTCCGGTACCCCCTTTCGGAAGCCCCTAAAAATCTCTATAACTAACCTACCCTAACCTAGCTAGTATAGCCGCTAGGGGCCGCTATACCTACGCCGCGGGGGAGGGAAGAAGAAGGAGTAAATAGGCCTTAGAGGGCCTCTAGAAGCTCCTAAGGGCTCTAGACTCTAGTTTAGTAGGTAGTCCGTCGGGGGGATTCGTATATAAAGAGCTATTTTGCTAGTAAGTAATCCGACCCTCTTAGTAGTACCTAGAGGTTGTAAGAAGGTCCGCTATATATCCCTTAGGTCTTCCGCGTAAAGGCGCTCTCCGTAAGACCGATAATAATAGCAGTATACGGACTACTATTATCCTCTTAGCGCCGCTAAATAGTAAAGATTACTAAAGGTGCCTACTAAAGGGAGCAGCTTACTCTCATTATGGCAGCTCACTCTCATCGTGCTAGCTCACTCTTATCGTGCCAGCTCACTCTCATCGTGGCAGCTCACTCTCATCATAGCAGCTAACTCTCATTATGGCAGCTCAGCTCGTTATGGCAGCTCAGCTCATTACGGCAGCAAAGCTCATCGTGGCAGCTCACTCTCATCATGGCAGCAAAGCTCATCATGGCAGCAAAGATGACTCGTTGTGTTTGTACAAAGTCAGGAGTAGGGATTGAGCCAGAGTTCGCTGTCTTGTCCAGAGGCAACGCCTTGCGGATCTGTTTCGCTAGCAGGATATGATCGGATTCACGGAAACCGGCTGCAGAGCTGGACTCCACCAAGGCTTGATTCACTTTTGCCCGCCTTACCAGTGCTTGATTTGTTTCGACTTGGTCACACTTCTCCACCAAGTTTTCACAAATTCCTAGCTGAGAGGTTGCTTTGCTCTAGTCGCTATGCTCCTCTAAAAGCAGTCGTCCTTCAAGATTAAGATGGCTATTCAGCTTTGCGGCAAACCAACCTACTAGTTTCGCATTGTCGAGCATGTCACAAAATACAGTGACCTGTATAATAGGCCGCATTCGCTAGCGAGACGGATCGATCATATTTGGAATCAAGACAGCTCCAACAATCTTGGCGGCGTCGGGACTGCTTTCAAAATGCTACAGTCTGCCTCGTGCCTTAACAAGCCGTAACGCCCTAGCTCTCCGGCTCTTCCACTTCGCTAAACTCGGCGTAGGAACGCTGTGCTTAGTCTTCTCTCTCGCCCGTGATTCACGGCCTCGAAGTCCCTAGGCTAGTCTTTTTCGGACCATCTTGAACGCTGCTCTGTATTAAGAGACCACCAGTATGCCTGCCATATGCGTCATGATTTCTCGTTGCGCTCTGGCTAATCGAGGCAGGCTTGCTCCACAAGTCGGGTGAATACGGGCGTCAGCGTACACCTCCGGTGCTAGAAACTATATCATAACGTTGGAAGAGGAAAGCAGGCTATGCCTTCTTTGGAGTCGCGCTCTTCTTCAGAGTCGCGATCTTCTTTGGAGTCGCCTTCTTGGCGGTGGCCTTCTTCTTTGGTGCAGTTGTGCCTTAACTTGGACTTGGTGACACGACTAGACTTGCAAGGTCTTGCCAAGGACGACAGGCGCTTTCTCCTCAACAGCTGAGGTAGCAGCAGGTCCCTTTTGTGGCTTGCCCGTGTTGGTCTTCGTCTTGGTTGCAGTCTTCTTGGCTGCCGATGCTTTGCCAGTGTTGGCCTTTGTTATAGTTGCAGTCTTGAACCTCTGCAACTTCTACGCTCAGGCATGTCGATGTCGGGAGAAGACTGCATCGTTTCGATGTCGTTTAGAGCGTCGCTGTCGGATTCTACGATGTCTAAGCGATGTAAGTGTAGTATGGTGGCTGTAGATGTTGAAGCGAGCGCAAGATGTCGTTTGGATACTAGTTTGAAGATTGGAAAGTGGCCGAAGGCATTCTTACCCGCATCGCATGTGTTAGTGGAGGCCATGTCAACGCTCTACATGCAAATTCCGATAATCACATAGATGCTTCGTTCACACATGTTAGGCCCAGGTGGGTGTGAGGGTGAGTGAGCGCAAGGCTTGACATCCGAATCGCCAAGTTCCTAGATGCGCAAAGGAGGTACATGTTGCGGATCATTTGTAGCTAATCAGGCCTCTAGACTGCGTTGACAAATGAGCCTGTAATCTTGGAGCGCCTGCCTATATTCGTTCCATGCTCGAGCACGAGCGGGTTTGATTGCAGCTGGATGAAGCGCGTAAGACAATTAGGGTCGCTTCTATTCGTGAGAACGACACTTCTTGGGTGCCGGTACCTTCTTGGTAGCAGCGGTTTGCTTGGTTCATCATTCCTACTGCAACGTGTCGGACATGCATATTATCTAGCGAAATTCGAGCCTAGAAGAAGGCTACACCGGACACCGATATGCATGTTGAATGCTCCAGATCCCAAGACGCCATAACCAAGACGACCACCTGCATTGCCGATCCGGCGTGCCATCAGCGAAGGTGAGCTCAATCCGTATATGCAGAAGTCCATCTTTCGCTAAATGGGCGTGAAAACTGCTTTGTTTTGCGACACATCTCATCAGTAGTAACCCAATCTCATCAGTAATGAACACACCTCATCAGTGACCACACCTCATCAGTAGTGACCACACCTTATCAGTAACCACATCTCATCAGTAACACCAATTCTCGCTTTAAAAGTCTGAATCTGTCAACATTCACGTGGATCCGTCGCAGCTGCGGAAGAGTTTCAATATGTTTCATGAACCCACTTTCTTTTCCTTTTCTCCGCTTCGGCGAGCGCTGTGCCTTTCGTATCTGTCTCTACGATTCGTGTAGCGCGAGGGATGTTGGCTGAAGTTGTTGAGTAGGATGTAGTTAATGTTGAGTTCGATGTTGATGCTATAGGTACGACGGGAGTTGGCTCGCGCTCTACGAATCGTACGTTATTGAGAGCTTCATTCAAGATACCTTTAGTACGCTTGCTACGCTCGTTCTCCTATGCCATCTCCTTGAGCTTCTCCTCGCCGTATTGCATCCTTACTGCGCCTAACGCTCCGTAGCGCTCGATTGAGCTTCTCGAGGCTTCGTCGTATATACGTCGCGCTGCCCGCTATGCTAACTTGTAATATCGACCCTTTCCAGCGAAATGCTCCGCCAAGACTTCCGAATACTGCTTCTGGGGAGAGATAGGCGTCGGAATCCACTGATAATGTATGACCTCGGCCAGAGGGAAATCGCGCGAGACCGGTGCATCGCCGATGTTTGAAAGGAGTGGGTGTGCGCACATCAGGAGGGGAATTATGATGGTTTGTGAAGCTGCGGGCTTGGCAAATGCTGTTGATCTCAAGTTTCTTTGGAGACTGTGGTGGTCCACGACTTGCTTGAGCTGACTCCGCCCTCGTCCTTCCAGCATTCGGGCTCAGGATGTCGCCAATTCGTATTCCAGCACAGAGTTGCAATGCAGCTATGCAAACAGGCTCATCAACGGCAAATCATCCAATCCCAAGTCCCGAGCTCGCCAGGCCTTCGACTTCTGCTGGCAGGGAAGTTTCTTGACAATCTGCTCAAGATCCTGTAGCGAGGAACCTGGGAAATCCTTCTTGCTTGAAGCCTTTTCGATGGCAGCCTTCGTGTTTCGACAATCTGCTCAAGGTCCCGTAGCCAGAAGCCTTGGAAATCCTTCTTGCCTGAGGCCTTTTCGATGGCAGCCTTCGTGTCGGCCGTCATCATATCGTCAGTAGTATCAGACAACTCCGGTCGGTCGTTGGCGCCCTTGCTGCGACTCATGTTCACAACTGTTCGGTCCGAGCTTCTTCAATTCCGGGCATTGTAGACGAGGAGATTGATGTTGCGGACAAGAGCCTCGGAAATCCTTCTTGCCTGAAGCCTTTTCGAAGTCCCGGCCTGAGATTCTCCAATTACGGGCATCGCAAACGACGAGATTGATGTTGCGGATAAGAGCCTTGTTTCCTGCAAGCCGCAGGGCCTTCTTGACTTCCTGTTTGATGTGAGGTGTTCTGGCCTTCTTGTTTAATGTAAGAGGAACGTTCCAGCATTCTGGATTTCTGTCGTCGACCTGTCTTCAGCATCGGGTTCGAAGCGGTTGTTGAAGTCCGCAACGATGCTTTGTAGCATTGTCAAGTGCCTCTTGCATTGCGGTTACAGGAACGCCTCAGCGTGCTGAATTGGTCGCTCTGAACGGTCAAATGTATGTCTCGCGTGAAATGGTGTCCAGCCTGACGTGCCAGTGCTTGTAGTTATAGGGAGCGGTGATCTCGGTTTCGAGGCTTGTCGCCAGAAATGGCGCATTACTAGTCGAAGAGCAGTTCACTCAATTTTCTGCTCCGGTGGGCCAGTCGTAAACGATCTTCTGTGCCCACTGCCTACTTCTCAGGTCGACTCGATTCTGTGATCGCTCTTTGCTTCCAGCAGGTTCGGGTATGTTGTTGCTGAGTCGGCATCATTTTGCGAGCCCTGCCGTTGTCGTTTGGGCGCACGCATCGTCTCTGCCGGCCGGCCACCTTTCTCCCTGGCCAATGACGTCTGATTCCTTCGTCTCAGCATCAGCATACCGGCGATTTCACACCGCAATCCTGACTCTTCCCAACGATGATCAATATCCTTGCCGCCTTCGACACGATCGCTCCGCCTCCAGGAGCACTTCCACTGCCGTGCTTGTCGTCGCTGCACGCAATGCCGCGCCTAGAGCGAGTTGCTGAACCGCGCTTTACATTTTCGACGCATCCCTCGCCTTGGCTCATCTTGTAGTCCCCATCATCCCCATTCGACGTCGGCTCAAGTCACGTCTTGTGCTCTTGCCTGGAGCCAGTCGAAGAGCACCAATGCGCAGAAGCGGCGAGATTCTTGTGGCAGCTCTGCCTTTCTCCCGAGCTGGACGATGCCCGAGGACTCATCGACAGCAAGATTGAGACACAGCAGTGGGTCGAAGAGCAGCAATGTGCAGAAGCGGCGATAATCTTGTGGAAGCTCTGCCTTTCTCCCGAGCTGGACGATGTCCGAGGACTCATCGACAGCAAGATTGAGACACAGCAGTGGGTCGAAGAGCAGCAATGTGCAGAAGCGGCGATAATCTTGTGGAAGCTCTGCCTTTCTCCCGAGCTGGACGATGTCCGAGGACTCATCGCTGGCAAGATTGAGACACAGCAGTGGGTCGAGGAGCAGCAATGCGCAGAAGCGGCGATATTGTTGTGGAAGTCGAGGCTCGTGTTACGAGCGCACTGTTCTGATGCTCGGGAGATAGGCAGAACTTCCACAGGGCAATCGGCGCTGAGGTCGGCGACATCACTCCTATCGAATGGCTCAGCTACAGACATCTGAAGGTCATCCGACAACAGATCCTCTCCCTCTTAAGAGGCGAAGCGACTAGCTACCACTAGGGCTGGGAGAGTCCCTCTACAGGATGCAAGTAGTATTGCGAATTTCTTGAAGCCGATCCTGGATTTTGCACGAAGCGCCACACTCCGAAACACCATACCACACTGACCACAGGCTCTCCTAGCAAGACAAATCTACAACTACAGCCACGTGTAAAGAGCAACTAATGTGTCAATTGTAGCGCAGCAGCAAGCCTAACATGGCCGCCCTACGCACAGTTATGACGTCCAGGCAGACCTACAGAAGTTCGACATTTGAAGCCGTCGAGGCCAAGATGGCCACCCATGCGCACAGTTCTAAGGTCCAGGCACACTTACAGAACCTCGATCTTTGAAGGCTTCGAGGTCCAGATGGCCACCTATGCGTCATGTACTCGCGATTGGATCAACACGACCCGACTCGACAGCCAGACAGACAACAGACATGCACACCATATTGAAGTTGAGCTCCATCCTGCTTGCAGAAGATGTGCGTGTTGGTTGGGGCGGCATTGCTACAGCTCTGAGTTCCTGTGTCCGAGCATTACCCAGTGCAGAGCGATGAGCCGCGTCCCGTTTTCACTGTTATGTCAAAGAGAGTTTCGCGACAAGGATGGTTTCCAGTCTTCCTCATGCACCTATATACCACAAGCTGATCGGGACGAATCTCATTATCACAGCATCAGTTACAGCACCAATCACGGCATCAATCACAGCATCAATCACAGCATCAATCACAACATTAATTACAGCATCAATCACACTATCAATCACAGCATCAATCACAACATCAATCACAGCATCAATCACAACATCAATCACAGGATCAATCGTTGCAGCACCAATCATCACGAAATCCCGACAGGTTCTCGTTTCGCACCCATTCTCGTTGGCTCGTAATCCAACACGAGTCGCTCTGCTTCGGGCATGAGTGTGGTTGGAGAGATGCCAGCTGTAGTTCTGCAGTGGAGGTCAGCTCGGCTCAGGCCATGAGCCATGGGAATGGGAATGGGAATGGGCACGGTGGGCATGATGGGCATGATAGGCATGATGGGCATGATGGGCATGATGGGCATGATGGGCATGATGGGCATGATGGGCATGATGGGCATGATGGGCATGATGGGCATGATGGGCATGATGGGCATGATGGGCATGATGGGCATGATGGGCATGATGGGCATGATGGGCATGATGGGCATGATGGGCAGGATGGGCATGATGAGCATGATAGGCATGATGAGCAGGATGAGCAGGATGGGCATGATGGGCATGATGGGCATGATGAGCCGAATGAAAAAGATGGGCCGAATGGAAATGATGGGGCGGATCCGAATTGCAACGATGGGCCGAATGGTCGTGATGGGCATGGCAATGATGGGGCGAATAGGAATGGGTGTGATCAGTGGGTGTGATCCAACAATGAGAATGGGCATAATCAGTGGGAATAGGATGGAGATGGCCATGATCAGTGGGGATGGGATCGGAATGGGCGTGATCAGTGGGAATAGGCGTGATCAGCGGGAATGGGTGTGATCAGTGGGAATGGGCATAATCAGTGCGGATGGGGATGATCAATAGCAATGGACGTGATCAGTGGGTATCTGATGCATGGGCATAGGCGTGGGCATGATCAGTGGGAATGGGCATGGGTATAGCGACTGTTAAAACTCCACAGTCTACGAACATCGAACTCATGTCCTCCAATGTCTTACAAGGATGGATCATCTCAAGTTTGGCTTCGACTACTACGCTGATACTGTATGTTCCAGGGCATAGCAAACAGCAAATCACAGGACTTGCAGTTCAGGCGCGACTCTCTGGGGAGAACAGGTGGACAGAACAGGTGGATCGGCAAAAACTCGGAACCTTGAAGCCCTTCAAATCTTCAGCGCCCGCCCGCCGTCTCCGCTTCAACGCAACTCAACCTAGAAAGCACTGCACCGTCGACTTCAATTCCTTATAGCCAACAGTCATTTGCGCACTAGCGCCACCAACCTCGAAATCAAACCCGACCAAAAAACATCTGCTCGCAACGCCCTCCACTCCCCATGTCAGCCAAGTCAATCGCCCAACCATCCGGCCAGGCACAACCGCACCTGGCAGTCGACGACATATGCTGGATACCCGATGCACTAGAACTACGCTGCGCCCTTTTTTGGAGTCACTGCCAACCACAGATCTAATGTCGTCTCTGCGCATTGAATGCATACTCGCAGCCACAAGCCATCACAAGCTCACACCAGCCAGTAGCAACTTCAGCACGCCAAGCTGAAGCTGAGCATGGGCATGCACGCTGGTCTCATGCGTGCGTGCGAGGGCCAGCTCCTCAAGGACTTCGACCCCAGCGGCACGTCAGCCGCGATGATTCGTCAAGTGCTGATGCAGGCTGGGATCGTTGATCAGGACGCAATTCGTCACGACAAGCAAGAGCTCGCGAACTTGTTCGCATCCAACCTTCTCCAGATTTCGCCAACTCAACGACGACAAGATCGAAACACGCCTAGATAATGCCATCCCCGATGGGTCAGATGTGGACAACCTTGGAGATCGTGTGCGGCGTCGAGACGTCTTCATGTCTGGTGATAACCATGATCTGGGAATATGTCTTCATGCGCTACCTCTTTGGCATGGACCGGCTGAGTCCAAAATCATAGACGTCCAAGAAGGCGTAATGGCAGGTGGCAGCAGCACCTCTGCCGAACCCAACGCGAGCGCAGGTATAATTTCAGCTGTGTCAACATTGTTGGCTGTTTCAGCATCTGCGGGCTTGAGTCTATGACTTTCAGTATCGCGACAACTTTAGCAGACTCTAGTGCTCATCTAGGAGCTGCACTTCATGTGGGACAGCAACAACCAGTCTCCAGCCGCTCTACCAGCTGCTCTGCCACCAGGCTTCCGCACAGCACCTGTTCCACTATTCATGACGGCAATCAACAACCAAGCTCTTTGCTGCTTCTAATTTCATGCTTCCTCACAGCACCGGCTGCGGCATTCACGAAGGCAACCAACACCCAAGCTCTTGCTGCTTCTTATTTCATGCTGCCACGCCCATGCGGGCCGTTTTGGCCACCATCGAATGGCACTGGTGTCATGACACAGGACTACATGGCTTCGCAGGTCGAAGCAGCGGCAGGTGTGTGCGCTGTCGCAATGAGAGGTGGTGAGGCTAAGGATGGACTGGCTTTCCTCAACTCCTCGCTCACCATGCTGCGTCTGGCCAACAAAGTAAGGCATTACTACCAAACGTCCAGTTCAAAGACGTGGGGCAATGTAAGGAAACTATACATTCTTTACCTATTTCATTTGTCGAGGAGCAGGAAAGCTGCATATTTGATCATTCATTCAGCATTTCATTTGCTGATCAGAGTTTGAGATGGATAATACCACACTCATTTGGAACTTCTTTTGTTACGTGGGGAGAGTTCAGAGGACCTTGACGTTATGACTGCACTTACAGCCGCCTTAAGCGTTATCAGCTTTTCCCTCCGGCGAGAGAGATTTCTTCGTTCGAGCACAGTCTTCACAATTTGGGCAAAAGCAGCATTCTTTGCGGCAGCGAACTCGTCCCAAGGTTTTGTCTTCGGCAAGTGCAACGCCAGATGCAAAACAGGAAGACTGCTCGAATTGGCTTCTACAAGCTCGCGGTCAACATATCACTGCACACGCATTCCATACCAACAATTACCGTAGCCAAGCGAAATGATGCTTTTCTGTCGATTCCGCAACTTCGGAAAATTTGGTCGCGATCACTCTCAGCTGAAGCTTGAACAGCCTCTTCAGCGCATAAGTTATGAACACAGCGCCACTGCCAGGAACGACAACATCAACACCCCATCGTAGACTTCTCCTTCGACACGTCTACTGCCAGCAACAACAACATCGACCATACGTCGTCGATACCACGTACTCGCGCCTATTAGACGGGCGTCAAAATGAGCGAAAATCTCAAGAACAGCAGAACATGCAGTCTACAGGTCGAGAGGGACACAGATTCCTCAATACCATTCATCGTCCTCCGAATTAGGTCTCTCGGCAAAGTCGGCGTCCTCAGCGTTCCATATCAATACTTGTACGAATTAATGTGCGGTTTACAGCGATGCAAATGCAATGATTTTTGCACAGAAATAATCGCCGCATCGAGTTCTATGATTCTAAAATTGTCGGCGATGTATCATAGCAGAACGTGGTGTAGTCAACAGTGTGTGGTCGAACAGCCAAGCGCTGCAAAGCCTGTGTCGACGATCTACGAATTAATGTGCGCTCTATAGCGATGCAAATGCAGTGATTTTTGCACAGAAATAATCACCGCATCGAGTTCTACGCATCTAAAATTATCGGCGATGTATCATGAGAAATGGATTGTGGCATGGTCAAGACAGTGGGTTCAACAGCCAAGTGTTGCCAAGCCAAGCCTTGTCGGCGCTGACAGCCACACCCGCATGAGCAAGGCTTCAACAGCCTCCAAAACCACCTCGACTGTCAGAACACACACCGTCGAACCGGAGGTGGGAACACACAGCAGCATTCCCTGGGTCATCGGTCATCAGCGGCAGCATCCTCATCCTCATCATCATCAAGCAGCAGGTCATCAAACCTACTGCTACCCTCCCCGACTCCAGCTCCCGTCAATCCAGCACCGGCGCTTCCACTTCCAATCCCTTTGACGAGCACAACATCAGGCGACGCGAGGCCGACGACCGCAATCATGGCCGAACCACACCCAACACATCTGCATCCCGGAGTTCAAGGGCAACGTAGGAGATGATAGGCGCAGATGGATTGCACGTTCAATCGAGAAGAGACCATTGTCTAGGCTACTGCAAAGACATCTATGATGGCTCCTGGGCTTTATCGTGATGCTCTGCGAGGGCGCCGCATTGTGGGCCGATGAAGAGATGTCAGGTTCCATTCAAGAAGACGTAGTCAATGCGATAAATGAGGCAGAAGCAGGGAAGGCAAAGCGGATGGTCTCCATGGCATTCGGATTGCAGTATTCAGGCAAAGCAGTATTGCCAAAGGACAATGACACCGCAATGAGAGAACTTAGTGCCATCAGCCAAGAAAAGGACGAGACTGTCAAGGAATACCACAACAGAGTCCTGATTTCTTAGCCTGCTCCGACGCGCAAAAGGCGAGGACAACAACACTGCCACAGGAGCCGCCAGCTCCGTGTTTCACATGGCTCTCGCGTCCTTCATCTCTGCAAACAAGCAATTGCGGCATGACCCAATTGCCTACTTCCCCACGTACTCCACCAGATGCCTCGCAGAAAGTAGAAGATGCCGTTCGTTGCATCGAAAAAGACACCCGGATTGCGGAGGAAGAGGAACACAACGAGCGCGAAGAAGCGTATTCAGACTTCCCGTCTCTCAGGATGGACTACGAGCCAATCGCCTCAGCACTGGCAGAGAAAGTGCGGCGGTACAACAAGACAAAGAAGACGGGAGATGACAAGGGTGACGAGAAAGCAGCATCTGCACCAATGAGCAATCATGTGGAGGCCAGTCATCCAATCCATCAGCCTTTCAGCCACCACAACCATACTCGCAGCGCTACGTCTACAATCAGCAGACAGGGCAGCTCCAGCCAATCTATTCTCCGCCGATGCAGCTGCTGCAATTTTTCCAACTACAGCCGCGACATCCGCATGCCTCACAGTCGCAGCAGTACGCACCATTGCGCCCTGCACAGTCAGCTCCACCCGCACCACAGCAATATCAGCCGCCACATCAGAGAGCTGTCTCCTTTCAGAACCAACAGGCCCTAGCGCCAGCGCAGTTCAACCACGATGGCTCTCAGCGCCGATGGCTTTCAGCGGAGACCCAACAGCTTGCCACAGGATTATCAGGAGGAACTTCGTAGAACCTGAGAGAGACATCCACGATTCGAGCGAAGTTGCCCAGGACACCAGACAGTCAATGGAGCAGTTACCATATCCTCACATCCGAGACAACCAGCTTTGTATTCGGCGTAGCAACCGAGGACACAACTCCGAGCAACAGCACGCCACCACCAACACCCCGAGCTCCAGCGCGCCAGGATTCAGCTCAGGCTACTGCGCCAATAGCTCACGCAAACCAAGTCGCAGTAGTGGTCGCCGGAGACGAAGAAGACGTGACACCAGGGCAGCTACTAGCAGGCATTCAGTTTTTTGGCTCGGAGGCAGCTCAAGTCAACAGCGTAGAACTAGCAAGCGTGGATAACATTGGTATCAAGCGAGCTCGCGTTGATAACGACGAGACATCCGATCAGCAGCGTGCCAACCCATCGCGCCCAATAACCACTAGCAGGCCAGCAACTCCAATCCAAGCAGATCGTTCGATCAAGGAAATGAAGAGCAAGGTCCACACCAGCAAGAAGTGCAGCATGCCGATGAAGTCTATCAATGCGATGTTCAACTCAGCTCCACCGGATATGATCAAGTTCCTTAGCAGTCTTGAGGGTCAGATTCCGCTTACCTGGTCGTTGCAGTAGGCACTATGGCTACGTGATGAAACAAAGCATCTCTTCTCACAGCCACGAGTCCGCAAAGCCAAGCCACGCCAAAGAAGAGCTACGAGCACCTTACGGAAGCAGCAGGATGGGTATCGAGGCCAGCTCCCACAGGTCCATCAGCTCCACCGGCAGCGAGAACGCTCACTCCGGTAGCCGCACCAGCGACTCAGGCAGCACTGGAGCAGAACACCACATTGATAACGACTGGCGAAGACGACCGGTGGAACTTGTGCTCACCACACCTGCGAGCCGTATACTGCAACCTAATAACTGTTCAGCAAATCAGCACCCCGGAGCCGGAGCCAGAACAGGAGATCCGAGCCGATAAAAGAGGAGCATTGATTGCTGTAATGGCCGCAATGCAATCAGCAGTGAAGTGAGCGATCAAGAAGAAGCTGATCATGTTCGAGGACAAGGCAGTCGGCGTGAACAGAGTCAGTCAGCGGGACAGTGCAATCATTTATGGACCGGTCCCACAACCGCTCGCAAGACAAGGCATTCAGCGTTCTAGCGAAGCTATGGGCATCCAACGAGACACAGGACTCGAGAGCAGGAGTCCCCCCAGGAAAACAGGCATCAGCAGATCAAGGCCCCGACATCAACCTTACCTATCCACACATACGCCAAGAACCGGGACTCGAGCAGTTTGGCTTTAAGGGCGTGGGTATGAGTATTGCTCGTCGCCGCGATCGCTGTCGGCGTAATTCGAATTTTGTGGTGGTGTCGCGGTCGTTTGCGATGGCGTTCGTCTTCGCTGACTTCCATCTCGGAGCGTTGATGACACATGGACACGCTAACCGGCGCAGAGAGTGCCGAAGCCAAATCTAGGTTGAATGCTGGCGCATCTTTCTGCTGTAGTGGGGAAACCCGTACCTCCCACACTGCACACCCACTTCGTGACATTCTGGAAACATTGCCTTTCGTGTGCCCTACCGAACGTAGCAATTTGTCACTACTGCTGGGATTGCCGTTACTGTACGAATTCAGCGCCCGAATTGACATTAAGGCGGAAACCATCAGCTTCCGTGACCAAGAGCTCGAAGAAGTTGTCGTGATTTACGCGCCGCTTCGAGGAGGTTAGCAAATCTGCGGCTCATGCGAGAAGAAGGCAAGGAAGACAGCTGGCAAGAGTTTCAGGACGACGAGATGCTGCAGTTCATGAAGATGCTGCAGTTCATAGAGAGCTGAGGTTCATGAAGATGCTGCAGTTCAACGAAGACATAAACAAGCGCATCAGCGACATGGAAGAGGAGAGCGACTCCTTTGAATTCAAGCTCGTAGCCCACTCTGAACCTGCGCCTCAGCTCGATTCATTCGGTAGGATGTTCTCGGGCGCGTCCCTGATTCAGACCATGAAAACATGAGCATGTTGCTAACCAGGTTCATGAGCGATAATGTGCTCCAAGGTTCAAGATCGTCGAGTCGAAAATGGAGTTTCTGATCGTATTCGAGATTGTAGACGCAAGTCCAACTACGATCATCAACGTGCCGAGGAACAAGATTAGACGTGCGTGCGCGACCAAGGACACGATGAGGAAGCTGAACATGATCGAGATGGCGAGCGGCGACAAAAACAAGATCATGCTCCCGTACTTACGCTTGAAGTTCAGGGAGAAGTCGAAGATGCTTGTGAGTGAGCAGCCGAACGAATACAGCATCAAAATCAGACCAGATCCTGCTCGGTGAAGCTGCACTTGGCTATAAGCGGATGCACGCACTCGTCCTGCTGTCAGGACACGATCTTGGCCGGCATCGTGTGCTCGAAGACAATCCTGATCACGACCAGCCTGGGATGCAAGCACGGGCTCATGGACGGCCTTTCTTCGGTACCAGACGCCGCCAGCACTCCAACTATCGACAAAATAGATTTGGATAATGAGCCATTCTGGGCGAAAAGTCCCTTAGGCGAGGTTGGAGACGGCATAGATGTCTTTAGGATCGAATGCGTGTAGCTGGCGAAGCTTGTGCGCGATTGAGGGCGAGATCCTTACGAAAACTAGAAAGTGATACGGAGACAGGGAGATAGCACGAGGGCATATGCGATTACATGTGTTAGAGTTGCAGTTAGAATGGTATTCACTTCAGGAGCGAACCGAAATGTCTTGTCGCTTTCCAAGCAAGCGGGAGCTGTAAATATTCATAGCAAGCAAGTTAATGCAAGCCGAAGAATATGCGGGGTCAACCAATATTTCAGTCGTCATTCATTCATATATTGAAGAAGTATAAAGCCTAGATACTAGGTATTGACGGGGCTTCCAACAGTCATTAGTGCAGTGGCAGCCGAAAGACCCATCAAAGTAAGTAAAGTGGAGTTGAAGCACTTCAATTAAATCTAGCCTAGGACGACAGGACTTCCCGTCTAATTGAAGTTTTTGGTACCGGGCTGTTCTTGTGCTTCATCTTAGTAGTCTCACATCCCTACTCGTCCGGCGGCATCTCATCATCCTGCAACTTCAACATCGTCTTGACCTCATCTGAACAATTGGATTTGACTCTCACACCTTGCTCACGGGCCCGCGGCGTACCGAGCGATCGGCAACGTGTCCTTCACGCGCGCCATCGTCATTCCTGTCCACCACTGCGCACTTCTTCCTGGCCGTGATGAGGATGGTCCTGCACGAGCCGACCGAGGCTGAGATTGAAGCTAGCGAGGAAGATGGGATGGGGAAGAAGATAGGGAGGCCGGAGCAGTAAAGGTAGAGACCGACGCGGCGACCTCAGGCGCCGAGGCGAGATCATCGACAGGCTCATCTCCCTCAGGAAGAAGGCGAAAGGACATCACGGCATGGACTTCAGGATGCTCCTGGTCAACATCTACAGCGCGTTGGGGAGCAAGCACGGCATTATGCTCTCGGAGATCTGCGCTGAGGCCACCACAGGCGCGGGAGACTCTTCCTCAAGACTATGATCGAGGTAGTAAGTAAGAGTTTGGACGAGAACATAGTCGGGTCAAGGGCATCAGTTCGCCATTGATGATCGTGGCGCGCTTCTCGTAGAAGGGAGTGAACTTGGGCCAAAAAAATCGCTTCTTAAGCTCGAGAACCTCTTCTTAAGTCAGCTTTGCACCGCGGCTACATACGATTTTTGGGTCCTAATCACGATCACGAACTCGTTCCACACCATACCGCCGAGACATCTGATGCGCCCCCTCGGGCATAGGTATACTCAGCTTCGACTGCAAGCACGTGGGGTTCTTCGCGGACTACGGCCACATACGATCTTTTGGTCCTGATCACGATCACGAACTCGTTCTATACTATGCCGCCGAGACATCTCATGCGCCTCCTCGGGCATAGGGTTCTTCGCGGATGTGCACCCGCCGATGAAGATCTGCAACTTCGTTATCAAGGAGCCGCACAAGGAGTTGCCGTCGACTATGACTACGCCCGGCGTTAGGGAGACGACGTAGCCGCCCTCGAACTTCTCGTCAATTGAAGCTTATGCTGTTCCTACCCAAGTCGAGCGTCGCTTTTCTAGACAGAGCCGTGGACTCCATTATGCAGAAAGTCATAACTCCGGTATTGTTCCCCACCGAGTCCCACAACGTGCTTATAGACACGCCTGCTAACCAGGAGATGCGCTCGCTCGCATATGAGCATGTTCTTAGCGAGTCCCTGGCGTTGTACACCAAAATGTGAGTCAAGTTGACATCCTCTGCGACTGAAAAAAGTTCTGGCTTACCAAATTCGCTTCAGAAGGGCTGGAATCCGGTATGTACGAGTCCACTAGAGCAGGCAATGGGCAGTTGTCACAATGGGATGCGGATGCAGTGTTGGTAAAGAAGCCTGGCAAGGGCAGACCAAGGCCGACCTTCAACTACAACAATGTTTGGCAGGATAACTCAGGATCACAATGGGATATCCGCTTCCTCATCGCCCAACTGACTTTCAACTACTACAATGCATGGGAGGATGAATCAGTATCACAATGGCGCCCGCTTCCTCGTCCTCGAACTGACTTTCAACCACCACAATGCATGGGAGGATGAATCAAGACCATAATAGGACGCCCGCTTCCTCATCGTCGAACTTGGTCTCGAACGCGAAATACCTCCTTGGCCCATATCAAAGAGTTCATGAGCTCCCTCTTTTCGAGCGCAGATCCCTCTCGGCATACGCATCGAAGCAGTCTTAGCCAAGCGAAGCTTCGCCTTCCACGTCGATGAGATGAGAGTCCTTGTAGGATAAGAGCTCTTGTGGGATGGGATTCCTTGTAGGATGGGATTCCTTGTGGGATGGGATTCCTTGTAGGATAAGAGCTCTTGTGGGATGGGATTCCTTGTGGGATGGGATTCCTTGTGGGATGGGATTCCTTGTGGGATGGGATTCCTCATGGGATGGGAGTCCCCATGAGTTGAGGTTTTTCATGAGTTGAGGTTTTTCATGAGTTGAGGTTTTTCATGAGTTGAGGTTTTTCATGAGTTGAGGTTTTTCATGAGTTGAGGTTTTTCATGAGTTGAGATTTTTCGTCACACAAGGCCAAAGCCTTTGTCAGGAGAGTATGGAGGACTGGAAGCACAAGTTCCGTGCTCTGGCTCGTTTGGGGGGAGGATATGATTGCTGAGTAGCGGCTTTGGTGGGAATTTGGAAGGGAGACGTTCGATTTGGAGGAGGCGGACTATCTGCAGTTGATGTAGGAGGTTCACGAGTACCTCAGCAATTCAAGCCACGCATTGTACAGCAAGTTTGACAAGAAGGACGCCTACTGGAAAGTGTCGCTCCATCCTGATAATAGACACCTTCGCGCATTCTTTGCACTCGGCATTGGGCAGTTACAGCGAACGCGAATGGCTTGGGGCGCTCGGTCATCTGGACATATGATAAATGAGCTCCGCCCTATCTCCTTCGGCGCAACTCCAGAAGCAGACCCGGAAGATTCAATGCTGAAGCTCTCCTTTAATAAGATGGAGCTTGGAACGAGAAAGATCTTGGCTCGTAGTAAGGTCTTTGAGATTGGCGGCATTTCCGAACGCTCAAGCCTGCACGGGTCCAAACATCATCGGCTGGCCAGCACACCAGACTGCCACCGAAGCTCCCGGGTTCAATGCCATTGTCGCAATCGCTAGAGCAACAACCCCATTACTGCTTTCCTCAATGCACAAGCAGACGGCATCTATGCGCGCTGGCAGAACGAGCTTCGCATACTGAACATCCTAATCAAATACACTGACCCAAAAATCTAGCAACTCGACGAAAGGAGATCAAGGGTCAAATGATGCACTTCGACATTGTGGGGCCATATCACATTCAAGGCAATAGTGAATCCTACATCTTGTCCTTCACAGATGACGCAACTCGATGCGAGCAAATGGGAAATGCCAACTGAGTTCATCAACATACATAAGATGATTGAGAAGTCCGAAAACTACAAGGCCGACAGCGAATTCTGCAAGCATGGCGAAGTTATGTATACGATGCAAACAGTCGAGAATCCGTCTTCTTTGGCGATCCACACGACCTCGAGACATTGTTGAAAAGCATTGTATTAGGAGGCTTTCTTCTCGGTCGGGCTAAAAAAGCAGGATGTCGATATCGCATGCTTTTACGAAGTCCTATTCTCTCTCGTAGTAGCAAAGCAACTGAATCAATTTCTCCCGGCACACTGTCCCTCGCAAACAATACAGCTCGTCACCACTCCGTAATACTTCCCTTCGGTATTCTCTTACTGTCGTTACCAGCTCATTTGGGATCTCCCTCGGATCCTCAAACTCATCCATTACCAAAGCCGCATCGCAACATTCTCCTATCAAATACGGATTCCCGTCACCGCACTATATGGCTGCCACATTCGTATAGGAAGACATAACATTTCACGGAAGGCGGAAGGCGGAGGGTCAATGGGATTGATTACGTGATGGCTGAAAAGATTATGTAAGCCAGAGACTCACGATGTTCGCAACCTTCGGCTTGATCATCCAGCTGCCATATCAACGCAACGCTTGTACCCTCTTCTTTCCAGTGATCTGCTTTCCAATTGCTGAGAACCAATATGAACAACAAAAGCAAGACATTCCAGGCAAGCTACCAGGCATCTATAAGCCTTGGCTTCGGCTTCCTCTCTGTAGAGCTGTCCTCTCTATCGTCGCTTGTGACGTCTATAATATTGAGGGTGCATCTTCTGCAGGCTTAGGCTCTACCTCCCAGGTGTGAGAGAGGTGTCCATGAGCCTTGAATTCGGCTCCGCGACCGGAATATGGTGTCTGCCATCCACTCTAGCTCTCAGGTGTAAGAGAGTCGCATGCGAAAGCTCTGTATGCCTTGCTTTGTATCATTTCCCACGACTTCAAGCGCTTCCTCGTGCAGACTCGAATCTAACTCTGGACGAAGCCAACTTGCTTATATACGTAATCAAAAGAAACTCTCCGATCTCCAGATGCTGTGCGATGCGGCGGTGACCAGACTCTAGACCAAAGACAAGCTGAGTCAGGAATTGGAGAAGAAGTTGCTAAAAGTATAGCTGCACAAGATTTCGATGCTGATATGGACAGCAAGCGACTCGCCAGAAAGAAGTTCAAGCCAAAAGATTGCTCAAGAACAACCTGATCAGATCCACCTGAAGAGCCAACAGCCACCCTGGATGAAGCCAAACCTCCCTACGAGCCAGCACACTCATCGAGACACATCTCGACAACCACAGAGGTTCTCAGCAACATCGCATCAATCTCGCTTACACCACGATAGCGCTGGAGCTCGGACGAGGATTGTTACGAATCCCTGATAGGGCACGCGCTACTCGCCACCATCTGCTGCAACTCAACAAAGCGCAAATCGTTAGCTGCAGGTGTCGAGCTGCTTAGATGGTGCATTGATCGCCTGCTCAAAGCTCATTATCAAGGTGTTGTCGTAATCCAGCAGAGCCTAGCCTTCGGCCAGGCGATCGACGTGCATTGTCGGAAGATTGCTGAGCGGGAGCGGAGCCAGCAGTGCCGGTAAGATTGACTGGCGCAGTCATCGGACCAAGCATGTTACAGCAGCCGATACACTCCTTCTCGTACTCTTGGTTGTTCCAATCGAAGTTGGTACGTTTCGATGTGGGCTGCAAGAACGGCAGTTGGCGGTGTGTCGTCCTGCCCCCGCTTTCTAGCAACGAGACCGTTGGAGGAGGATTATACTGCGGCGTAACCGCGCCTGAGTAGTGGCACGAACTCCAGAGTGTCGAGAATGTTGGAGCATACTAGCCTTTGCTGGGAGCAGAGATGGCGAGCTGGATGAATTCTCATCGATCTGTACTGTATCAGCGGCGGAAGCGAGGTGTTGATTAGGGCAGAACAAAGCAGAGCTCGCTTAGAAATGGTATAGGATCAGGTTGGCTTGAAGGCTTATTCATCCGAACATTGCATTGCTCAGACAGGCACAACATATGCGATAGGAAGTCTGAGGTGCATCCCGTGATTGCTACAGCGAGAGATCTATACCATTATTGCCGCCCTCGAGGCTTCCGCTGCCTGTAGAGAAGCTTTGAGCGCAGCAATTTTTCGATCCCACAATTCACGTTCAGTCCTAGCCACCTTATTAGCCCATCTCTGATATTTTCGCTTGTCATCTTCGAGAGCCTGCTGCGCGGCATTGAAATTCTGCTCGTAGGGAGCCACAATGCTGCGCACCCTCTCATTCTCCGCAATTTTCCGGTCGAGATCCCTAATATGCTCATCCTTAGTCTGCCGGTTGAAGTGATCAGGGATTTCACTCTTCTGCCGTCTGTGCCAATCGATCACAGCCTTCGAGTCATAGCGCTTAGCAAAGAGGTCGAGGATGCCTTGACATTCTGCTTGTAACAGCAGCAAGGACTCGCGTAGCCATTTTAGGTTGTCCATTTCGCAGGGTATGTCCAGTACAAAGCGCTCTTCTGGGTACCGAACAACAGTGCATTGGATGTTCAAGGCTTTTCGGAGTCGTTGAAAGATGTTCTCGGGCATGAATGCTTCGGATAAGGTACTAGCTGGCCCTGGCCCGATGAGACATAGAATCAAGGCTCGACGCCAGACTTCCGGAATTATGCTCGGGGGACAAGGCAGCTGGTGCATATGCATCACAGCACGCACGAAGCTAAAGATGCCGCAATCGTAGGAGTTGCGCTGACGGAGATTTGCCGAAAGTACCGAGTGTGAAGCGCGAGGCGCTAGCTGTTGCGCAAAACCATCTACCGTCCTGCTAAGGTCGGCACTCGGCTGATTGCCTAGAGAGTCGTAGATCTCGTAAGTCGCTGCCGACGAGTCGATTATTGCCATTATCCAATGACTGCCTTTCAGAATTGGGCAGTAGTGGCGGCTACACTTGCTGAGTGTGGAAGGCTCCCGTCGGAAGGTCGAATCCAGAAAGCCGCTTTCGTATACCCTCCACTGCAGCGGCGAAGGATTGAATACAGACAGGGCGATATACAAAGCGGATGCCGAAAGCCACCTGCCTGGCTGCAAGGACTGCGCCATGCCCTCTGCAGTATTCTCGGGGAGAATCTGGCGAGACGGCGTGTCGATGGCTATAAACTCTGCAACCCTCCAAGGCTTTATTGTCTTGGACACGCTGGCGTAGCGTCTTTGGGTGACATTCCCATTCTTCAACATGTCCATGTCTATGTCCATGCCCTCGGCGGCGTTAGCAGGTTGTGGAGGCGTTTGCATGACTGGTGCACTCGCTGCCGCGACCGCCGCGGGGCTTACGATGTAATGGAGAGAAGCCTTGCGGTGCGAGTCGGTGGCGGAGAGTGCAGGTGCTGCATTGGTAGTGTCGAGCCGAGGTGTGGGCATAGGTGGTGGGGGTGTTACTGCCGAGCTTGCAATGTGCTCAGGTTCCTCGGGAGGTGCCAGTGCAGGTGCAGGTGCAGGTGAAGGTGGTGGGCGTGTTGCTGCCGTGCTTGCAATGTGTTCAGGTTCCTCGGGAGGTACCAGTGCCAGTGCAGGTGCAGGTGCAGGTGAAGGTGGTGGGGGTATTTCTGCCGTGCTTGCAATGTGCTCAGGTTCCTCGGGGGGTGCCAGTGCCAGTGCAGGTGCAGGTGCAGGTGAAGGTGGTGGGGGTATTGCTGCCGTGCTTGCAATGTGCTCAGGTTCCAGTGCAGGTGCAGGTGCAGGTGAAGGTGCAGGTAAGTGGCGTGTGGTATACGCATCTGACAGAAGTGCAGCAGCTGCATTTTCGTGGGCACTCTCATCGTCGTCGTCGTCGTCGTCGTCGTCGTCATTATCCTGCAGATGCAGCTGCCAAGTATTGAGCGTGTTGAAAGGAGTCGCCATGTCCATGTCCGTGCTACCAAACATGGACTCGTCCTGCTCCTGCTCTTGCTCCTTTACGAGTCGGATTGGCGTGATGGGGCCTACGTCGGTCGTAGATGCGTCTGCGTCCATGAAAGCGGCTGAGTCGTTTTGGGGGTCAAGATTGAGCGAGTCAGAGGAGAAATGTAGTGGAAGCGGGCTCTCCGCGGATCGACCGTGTTCGCTTTCACGTCTGAAAGGGTTGTGGCCATCATCTTCATCTTGAATCACGGCTGTCGAGTTCATCTTCCGTCGTTTGGCGGGGAAAAACTTGAATGGTGAGTCAGTGTCCGGTTCCCATCGTTTTCGAGTCGATTTCGATGTGTGATGTTCGTTTGGTGTAACTAGTGGGAAGTGCTTCGCGCTCGTCGAGTCTGCTTTGTGACCGGTATTGCTGCTACCAAGTTCACCAGACTCTTCACCAGACTCTTCACCAGACTCTTCACCAGACTCTTCACCAGACTCTTCGCCAGACTCTTCGCCAGACTCTTCGCTACCTGCAATCTCTGTGCCCTCTCTACCAGCTTCGCCTGCAATCTCTGTGCCGTCGCCGTGAGACGAATTGTTGTTGTCTCCATCCGTAGTAGGTCGGCGCTTAGCTTTGCTATTCGCTGCAGCTGCCTTACTACGGGAGCGAGAAAAATCGCCCTCGACTCCAAGATTACGCAGAATTTCTTCCGCCGCACCGTATATATCGCCTGTCTCCACATCTTTCGACCGTGAATGGCCTCTCCCGGGCTGTACCTTGCGCTTGTCTGCGGCACGCTGGACCGCTTCGACTACGTATAGCCAAGACACGTTGTGCCCTTCTTCTTCGCATACGAGCTTAAAGAGGTGTGTAAGGTTTCGAGCGCAGCGCAGCGCATCCGCGCCGAGGTCTCGAAGGACTTGGTACGGGCGCACCTGCCAACCCGTTTTTTGGAGCGCTTTGATGCGGCGTCGCAGGTCCTGTCCTTCAAAGCTGTTCAAGATCGCGAGATCGACGGCATCAATGACCTTCGGCCCTATCTGTTCATCAAGCTTCGACCATCGGCTGTTGTCTTCCGGCTTCCAGTCCTCGCTCTGCTTGTAGATGTCGCATACTTGCTGGAAATGCTGCAGCGGGGCGTCGATGTCGCAACTCGCCTGCAGTGCGTCAAGTGCAGTACGCAGAGCTGACGACATGCCTGACGACATTCCCGAGGAACGGTGGGGTGGTGGTGGGCATACGACACGGTCGGCGACAGAGGTGACAAAGAAAGCGGAGCGCTGGGAAGGACGCCATGGTGTTTCTAGGGTGGATGATCGCTTCCAACCGAAAGCGCCAAGAAGTCGGCTGGCATGCTACCCAGATTTTGGGTAGAATGTCACTCACTGAGCCCAGAAACTGGGGCAGATGAATCAGCCACACACACTAGCCACACAAGCCTCACATATTACCCGCACTTTCATAATTATACTAGGAAGCCCTTCACTTCTCATGATTGTGCAGCCTTCACTTCCGTCTACAGACCTTTCAAGATAGCGACTCCCTCCCTCTCTCGGTATAGATACATAAGACCTCTTATGATACTGAGAATCATGCAGAGTTCACGATTCTTTCAAAGAGTGCGGCCACGACACTCGTTATGCCCAGGGCAGAAATCTCTGCTACAGTTACTCCAGAGGCCGACCTGACAGCGCGAACAACGAGAACGGTCACAGTCATTATTATTGCTATGGTGCAGGATCTTTGGAGGCCAACTCGGCAGCCAGAGCAGGAGGAATCAGTAAGGTCTCGATGCCTGTTGCAGGGATGTTTGCCAGACTGCCAGACTGCCAGACTGCCAGACTGCAGGACTGCAGGACTGCAGCAGGTAGGATACCTGTCGGGGTATTCTGAGAGATAGAGGTACCTCATCCGTCCAGCCCTCAAAGAAACACCTCTTGGCCCGCCAACGAGCCTGTCGGCATTGCATTGCTCCGTACTGCGCTCCTGCTGACTGGACGCTTCTCGCGACATGGCAAGCCCGTCGATCGACAGCAGCGCAGATGACGCACAATTTTGGCGGCTTCTAGAAGCAATAAGCTGGGAACCTGGCCATTGCACTGCCTCACTCTCTCGCAACAGGCGCTGCAAAAAGCACGTAGCCCACAACAGTCAAGCGACCTTGAAGAGCCTACTCTCGGCAATCCTCCACCCTCAGCAATCCAACCCGCTCGCCGCTCTGACCAAGGCGCTGGAAGTGACGGCCTGTGTTCACCACCGAGCTGCAGAGCAATTGCCTATCGACTGGTTCTCTGATCAGATCGTGCCCGCTTGGATTCGCATTTCAGAGTTTCGCGCACAAGAGAAGGTAAGCGCACGACCTACGCCATTGAGCCGAGAACTTGGCTAATTATGTATAGGCCATCATTACTTTCACCAATGGATTTCTCTTGGGTCCAAATCCGACAGACGCCAGGTCTCTGGATAAGCTTACTGCCTATGCAGGCCATCTGGTCTTTCTCTGGCCATCGCTGTCCGCACCTGAATCTTGCGTCAATGACTTCTCTTCCAGCCCAGCTTTCACAGCCGCGAGCCAAAACGACCAAGGCCCTTCTCGCAGTCGGCCATCCTCTGCAACGACTCTACCAGCTGGCGGTGATGTCTGGGAGGAGGTGGATCTCTCGGCGACTGCTGCGCCAGTATTATGCGAGCCTCGCCAAGATGCCAGTTTGACCCAAAGGCTGCCAGATCTTGCACCCAGCGGAGATATGCAGAACTTGCCTTCCGACAACGCTGCCGCTGTCGACTGGGACCTGTTCTTCTCTCCCGATAACCCACCATGGCCTTCATATCCTATGAATACTGCGTCTGGCTTTGGGCATGGCGGTAATGTGCAGGAAGGCCCTTCAGACGACACTGCTGCTGGCGACTGGCTCGAAAGGTTCCCGTCACATGGTGTGTCAGTCGGCGTCTCTTCCAATGACGACAGTGCTGCTGTCAACTCCTTGCTCCAAGACTCGCTCGCCACGCACTGCACAAGTTATTCGGTTCAGGTGGGCACTCCCTCCAGCATGAGTGACCCATCTGGCATGAGTGACCCATCTGGCATGAGTGACCCATCTGGCATGAGTGACCCATCTGGCATGAGCGGATCATCCAACATGAGTGACCCATCCAATACGAGTGGCCCATCCAGCATGAGCGGACTATTCAACATGAGTGGCTCATCCAATGTGAGCCGATCGTCCAACATGAGTGACCCATCCAACACGAGTGGCCAATCCAGCATGAGCGGACCATTCAACATGAGTGGCTCGTCCAATATGAGCCGATCGTCCAACGTAAGTGACCCATCCAACACGAGTGGCCCATCCAGCATGAGCGGACCATTCAATATGAGTGGCTCGTCCAATATGAGCCGATCGTCCAACATGAGTGACCCATCCACCACGAGTGACCCATCTAGCATGATAGACCCATCCAGCATAAGCGGTCCTTGCAACACAAGCGGACCATCCAACATAAGTGGCTCATCCAATATCAGTGGCTCATCCAATTCGAGTGGCAAGCGCAAGGCCATCGACATCAACGACATCGAGGACAACACAGAGCCAGGCATGCCGACGAAGAAACAGCGCTACACTGCGTACATGGCAGAAGGTTCAATGTGGCTTTAGTAGAGAAGACAGAAGATAGGAGAGCAGCCAAACAGCGGGACTTTGGGGCGCGCTCCAATGCCTTATTGATGCACGTACGTGGGAAATGAAATGAACGTGCCCACAAGCGCATGCAGGAAAAGGGGAGTGTTCTGCTCACGTGTTCGACCTACCAAGACAAGAGACAAAGTCATTCCCGCCTTCGTAATAAATAATACACACCTACCCACCAACCCATTGCAAAAGTCATCCAGTTCTGGACGGAAATATTTCTTGGACCCAAAAAAATGTTGCGAGGCTCCTCCCATTCTCTATCGCTACAAGCTCCAACTACTTCGCACAAGGTGCTTCCTACGTTACGGAAAAACATTTGACCCGTATCTCAGCTCGCTCCCATTCTGACTCGTGTAGCCTGCGCACCCTAACATCTACGCCTGATCTCAACATTCGTGGCAGCAGTGAGTAACTGGGAGTGGAAGGAAATATACAAGGTCCACTGCGACCGCAAATTCATGATCGAAGAAGAAGAAGAAGAGGAAGAAGAAGAGGAAGAAGAAGAAGAAGAAGTCACGTAGCAGTACAGTAACGATTATGCAGTGAAGCTGCGATGGTAGGTATTCAAGTAAAGCAGCAAACTCGCTTCTTCTCGCTTTCAGTATCCCCGTGATTTATTGCTTTACTGCTGCCTTCGTGCACGGAAGAGATCACCCCGCGATTCCGGCGACGCCGCGCCGCGCCCTTTCATATTGAGAATGGCCAAGCATGCGTTCCGACGCTTGCCAAAGATCGAACCCCAATCTTCCCGGACGAATCTTTCTGCAAAGTCTTCGTCGAAGTGGAGCTGCCATGGCTCCGGCCGATCCGTAACCAAGATCCAACTCAGGCCTTCAAGATGGAGTGCACGATAGAGAAGGGCGGTGGAATTGTCCCAGCGGGTGTCGCTGTCGGTCGGAAGAGGAGTCGCTCGATGCAGATGCTCAAAGCCCCATGCACATGCCCAACGATGGGCACCGAGAGTGCCGGCAGAATGCAGGCTGCGGGCAAACGGTTCGGCGAAGTCGTCGATATAGGCTTCGATTTGAGCAGACAGGAACTCGGGGTCGGTGAAGGCGTCCTGAGTAAGTAAGGCCCGCTGTTCCAGCCAGTCGCGGAGACGCTGATGGTAGGCGACCTGGTCGTGACAGAGTTCGATCGAGGCGGAAAGAGCGGCAGAAACGCTGGAGAGGGAGAGATGGGTGAGGAGATGGCTCGCATATGCGGTAATAAGACGGCGTAGACTCTTGGTGTTGTCTTGCCCACGCGCTGCAAAGGCGTCCAGACGAGCCACGGCGTGACGACGGTGCTCGAGAACTTGGGAGTCCAGGTCTTGGGTGCGATTGAGAAGGACACCCAGGTCGTGGCATACAGAGGTCGCGAGGTCGAGGCCTTCAGACAGCATTTGATCGACGTATTGGAGCTCAGAGGCGGCGCTCGCGAGAGGTGGCAGCCAGGCGGGAAGCAGTGGAGGGACGCTATACCATAGCGCATCGGAGAGACAGCGAGGCAGGTCGATGAGAGCGTCATGGGTGTGGGTACAGCGCTGCCAACGCGCGTGCCATTGTGCCGTAGGAGAGTATAATGTGTGCTGGTCTTGACGTGTGTTGCGTTGGCGGTAGCGCTGTCGCTGCAGCAGAGTGCGCGCGTGGTTCAGCAATGCCTGGCGCGGTGGCTGGATGTTGTCTTCATCGTAGTGGGCGACGCGGGCGGCGAGCACGCTGGTTTCCCAGTCGTACTCGGGGAGCGGCGCGCGGATGGGCAGGTCTTTGAGCCAGTGGGTGTGGTGCGAGGCGAGGGGCCACAGGATGCGCTCGAGATGGCCGGCAGTGGCGGACACATGGGCGCTGGCGCTGGCGCTGGCGGAGACGGTCGAGGGCGGTGGCGGTGGCGGTGGAAAGCGGTCGTGGTGCAGGGCGTGCAGCAGTGTCTCGGTGACATTCGTTCTCCCCTCGGCATGGGCGTAGCCGTCTTCCCTGCTCTGGCTGATCCCGATCCCGATCCCGTGACGCGGGGCCGCGAGGTAGTAGTAGACCAGGCCAAACAGCAACCACAACGCATTACGCACCCACGCAGGCATCGCGTTGAATCCAATTTCTGGCGGTAGGCGGTGGGGTGGCGACAAGAGGGCGTGGGCGTAGACATAGACATGGATGAGTTCAATTGCGGCTTGCGGCCTTTGTCACCGTCGCCTGCATTCCGACAGCAATACAATACCAAAGTCACGGGTCGCTCAGCTCACACCGGGGCCCTGCAGCCTCTGCACCAGCACCAGCACCAGCACCAGCACACGCCGACGCCGCCGCTATGCAGAGCAAACGACGCCTTATTGCCATGTTCGCCTCTCCGCCTCCCTCCGCCTCCGCCCTTCCGCCCCTCCAGCGAGCGCCGTCACTGGCCCTCCATTCCGCATCTATATGGCGCGCCCGCGAGACCTACATAATGAATGGAAGAGCCGCGTGCAGGCCACCCACAGTGCGCTGACGGAGTTGGAGAGAGCAAGAGAGCGCGCCGTGCCCGACAGAAACCCCTATCTGCTCGCATTCCTGCAACAGTACGCCGAGCTCGAGGCTTGGGAGGCACGCTTGGTCCGCGAGTACACCAATGCCAACGCCGTGCTAGAGCAGTGGAAGCATCGTCGTAATGCGCAGCCCGACATTACACCCGCCTCTAGGGAATACGCATGTAAGTATGAGTCTGCGCCTACGCCTACGCCTACGCCTGCACTCATCTGTCTGCGCTGTACGTGCTGACACCCTTCCTGATCGCCTCGCCGCTGCCGACGCTGAAGGCGCGGATAGTGACGCTGATGCTGCCGACGCCGCCGCCTCCTACTCGACCCAGCGTATACCTGGCTTTCGTACGCCGCGAGTCTCCGTCTGGCTTCTCCTGCTTGGCCTCTTCTCCAGCCCCCTCGTCCTGCTGTACCGTCGCCCGCTTCCTGTCCCTCCTGGCTTCTGGGAGCAGTCGGCCGGAAACCTGAGCTCTCTGCTTAACGCCGAGCCCGCGAGAGTCAATACGACCCTACAGACTCGCGCTCTTGCTCTTTGCGCAATCGACCACGCCCGCTGTCTCCTGTCTCCCTCGCTCGTCGATGTAGCAAAGGTACGCGTCCATCAGAGGCCCTTGGGATCAAGTCTTGGCTACTGCATTCCTTTCCAGTGCTCCGCTACTACTGGACTTCTCGACGGTGCACGTGTCGGCAAGAATGCTTTCATTGAAGACTTGCATATCAAGTTCTCGACCCTCGAATCGACTTTTGCCGATATGGTCGAATTCGACTCGATACTCGCTGCAAATCAGTCCATCCTTCTCGATACGCTCCTTCAAGCAAGTCTGAATCCTCCGCCTCCGCCACGATGTACATCCTCTCTCCCTACAAGGGCGAAGTGTCTCTTTGCGAACTGGATCCGGGCGAACTGTGGCCGATGTCTCTTGCACGACTGGTTCCGTCTCGCATTTGCCGTGCTCCTCCCACCACTACACTTCGAGCGCAGTATCCAACAAGCTGCTACCGTACATCGTCGTACTTCTCAACTCCTGCAACACCTTGCGGCCGACATGACGACTCAGCAAACCATGCGCAAAGACTGTATTGCTAAGGCCAACGACGTCCAGACAACGATACTTTGGCCTATTACAGCTCTTTCTACTGAAGATTCACTTCAGCAAGTCGACGTCGTTCAGTATTACTTCCGCTACATTATTCCTAACGCATGCCTTGGCCGTGACTCGCCATGGAAGCTGCAAGAGTGGTTGGACAGGTTGAATTTTCAGCAGCTTGAGCAGCCCCAAGGTCCAGATATCGCTGCGCAGCTCACCGATTCAAGCTCCGCATATGAGGCAAGAGCTACAAATATCCAGCGTCTCGGATACTGGACCGAGGAAACCCGCCTGATGGGTATAACGCGTATGACTCGCGAATTCCTGGATGGGTTGCGTCAGCGCTTTACCAGTGTTGATGCCATGTTGAGTACTTGGAGAACGGTGCTTTTGGACGGTAGACAGGAGGAGGAGGAGAAGGAGGAGGCGTGATCGTGAGTGTACTGTGCCTACGTTGAGGCCTACCGGAGCATTTTGCAGGACAGCTGTGATACATTTTATTACGCCGAGAGAGAATCTGTAGTCGCCCCAAGGTGTTCGAGAAGATGCTACTACGATCTGAGCAAGCTCCTGCTGATGTGAAAGATGATGATTCAGATAATCCCGTTATCGAAGAGACCGATATCGTCGTCGATGCCGCTCACTGGGGAATCATCGCCGGCGAGCGCTTTACCGGAGATCATATTCTTTGTGCCCTTCACCAGCCGACATCGACCTTCAAGATGGATGGCACAGAGATAGCGAATCTTCGTTCGGCCCATCGCAACGACTACTAATCCGCCTCGACCATTGCTCCCAGCAAGCAGCTATCAAAGTACTGGTTACGCTTCAGCTTCGATGATGTGTACTCCCAGCGTCGGATTGTGTATCGCATCGGCGACTTCACGGCCAGGTGTCTGAGACAGACATTTGCGAATCAAGGACGAAACCCTCGCGGCCAGATTTCTAAGACAGACAGAGACCTACGAGGATGAGTACAGCTTTAGGTATAAAAAGACAGGAAACGAAGCCACTCTGCTGCTGCTACTACTCTAACAACAGAGCACTCAACTCTCTCCCTATCTAAGAAGTCTTTTTTTTTGCCCCATCTCGCACTTAGATAACAAACACAACAAGCGTTCTCGGAAAATATGACAGACCACTACGAAAAAATGCTGCTCTCCTCCCTTCGAGCCGAAGCGACACTCCGCGGCCTCCCGAGCAAGGGGAGGAGGAGAAGTGTAATCGCCAGATTGGAAGCTTCTGATCAGACACAGACAGATCAAGAAGAAGAAGAAGAAGCAGGAAAAGAAGTGAAAATGGCAGAAAGTCAAGAAGAATGTTAGTACACAAGCTTAACTTCATCGCAAAAATCAATCGAGGCGGGGAAAAACTAATACAAAAGGATTTCTTTCTAGCCTCCTTCTTCTCAACTCAAGTCCAAAGATTACACTCATCCCGGGGAAAAGCCTTCGCTATAGGAATTGCGATCGTAGCGTTCGGTTTTGTCGTGGCGGCTTTTATATTGCCAAGTCGTGGAATAGCGAGGATGGGAACGACGGGAATTTTCGATCCGGAAGAGGTTACTGCGTTATCGACAAGGACTAGGACCACCCCATCGTCGACATCAAACTCCCGATTCAACGTCCCTTCGGCTGTTTGTTGGTCTTCTCCTAATGATAGAGAGATGGTTTGGTGTAGGAAGAGGGATGGCTCGGCGTCGACGTAGACGTAGAGGGTTGGGAAGAGAGGTGGAATGTAAGTGTAGGAAGAGGGATGGCTCGGCGTTGGCGTGGACGGTTGGGAAGAGAGGTGGAATGCAAGTGTAGGAAGAGGGATGGCTTGGTAGAATGCCGAATGGCTTGGTGTTTTTTAGGCTACGGTTAAGAAGTGTAAGCGTTGCTTCGAGGTACAAATCGTTACGATCGACATAATAAAGTGCCTTGTTGTAGTCTGTTTCTAGCTCTTAAAAAGTGCATTTCGGAGGTGTATATAGTGTGCTAGATGGATGAAATGGAGCTCTTGAAAGTGCCTTTCGGAGGTGGATTCGGTATTCGGTATGCGGAGATGTGTTTGGTATACGGACATCTTTGTCGATGGAAATGCTATACTATAGATTGGTGTGCGGAGATGGATTTGGATATGCTGAATGTGCTAGGTCGATAGAAATGATGTGTGCTGTATTTCGAATGCCGTCCAGTGTTGTGATAGGGGCGTCTACGCTGGGCCCTCGCCTCGATTTGCTCTACGCTGGCCTTTGCGAGACAAGACCCCGGCCTGTGTCGGCCATTATTAAAGGTGGTGTTCAGCAGAGTGCGTTGGCAGAGATCGCTTTGGTGTAACGACGATTGGGGAGTCGCAGGGAAGGGCTGAGACTTGGTCAAACGAGGCGCTGGATCTAGTTTACATAGACCTCGCAATTTAGAACTACCCAAGTTCTGTAGAATAGGTTTTGCGAATACCTACACCTACTGTTGGTGTCATCGCCGCTCTTCTGCGCTGTAGCTTCCAATTTTGCCAATTCTCGATACTACTGCGCTGGGTTGCTGAATAGCGGTGGGGGTGTGGTTTGCGGGTTTGGCGCGTTTTGCGCTCGGGCGCTTCGCTGGAATGGATTCGTGGGCGCGGTGTAACAGCTCGGTTGGAAGTAACCTGCAGGGCCGTGGGCGATGGTGGTTTATTTGATGCGTCTGTGTCTCCACTGCACGGGAACGAGCGCAAGTGGGTTTTGGAACGAGGACAATGAGGAAATTGGTGACTCGCGACGTCGTACAGTACCGTACTGTCTTCGTCTGCGTCTCATTAGGATGACTGGATTGCGTTATTAGAGTTCCCTCTCCTTCTTGTTCAATCCATATCAACCGACTAGGCACTCCAACTCATCATCTCTTTTCACTCGCTCTCTATTCCATCATGCCACCCCGCCGTTCCCGCGTCTCCCACGAAGAAGAAGACGACGCCTCCTCTACCTCCTCCTCCACCTCCTCCCTAGAGAACTACACCCTCTCCTTCGGCTCCCTCACCATCTCCCAACTCCACGCGCCCCCCGCCACTAAGAAGAAATTCCATTTCCGCGCCGCCGAGAAAGCTATCGCACTCCACCATCTCCTTACACACGCCTACACCGACAAACTCCCCCCTTCATCCCTCAGCATCTTCCTCGACCTCGCCACGGCCCAGATCCCGGTCCCGCGCGATCAAGGACTGCATGTGATCGAGACGTGTCTGCTGGGATTGGAAGGTTTGGTCACGAGTGTCGTAAAGGTGCTCGAGGGGAATGGATTGATGCATCAGTCCGTGTCTCGGAAGAATGTGAATACGTGGGTCGTAGATGTTTCTAAGGAGTTGATCGAGTGGACAGATCGAAAGGGAGGATGGGATGTCGTAAGTCTTGTTTTGCTCACGCTTTTTGTCTAGGTTGAAGTTTGAGTATTGATGATTTTTTTTTTTAGGTCAAACTCCCATCGTCGTCTCCCAAGTCGTTAGCGCGGCAGCATCGCGAACGCGGATCCGGATACACTCGGATGGAGAATCGGGGTAGTAGAGGGAGCTTATCAACATGGACGGAATTGAGGAGGGAAGCCATGGATTTTTTCGCGCGGCAGCAAATCTCCCGCTTAGCTGTGCCTGCAGCCGCTCCCAGGTTTCAATTGCAGCAGCAGCAGCAGCAACTTCAACAACAACAACCTCTCGGGCAGGCTCAGACGAATCGCTCGTTTGTTACTTCTTACCAAATTATTTCTTATGCCTTACTGACGACATCAATCAAAGCTTCTATACTGCATCAACCTATACTACCCTTCCCCTCCGAGACCGCATTAACCAGAGGAAATGCTATAGGGTCTTTCTCAACTATGTCCGACGAACCCAGCAAGCACTAGCAGATGGAGATCAGGCCGGCAGGGAAGTCTTGGATCGTGTCGTCAAGAGCGTCTCTTGGAATCAACAATCTCTGGAGTTCGTTAGGGGGAATGATTATGTCCAGTGGTAAGTGCGAGCGATAGGGTGAGAGGAGAGAAGTAGACGGATCAGCTAATGTGTTTGTTTGTAATATAGGCAGTTCAAGATGTGCAAGGACGGATTGTTGATTCCGGGGGATTTCCGGGATGAGAATGAGAATGAGGATGAAGATAGGGAAGTGGAGGTAAGTTAAGATGTCTTTTGCGTTGACGGGAAGCTGATTTGATGTAGGATGGTGAAGACAACGGCAGCGAGGAAGACGTTCGTGCTGCAGGTGGTGCAAGCTGCTCGTGATGTCCAGGTTTGGGGAGAATTTTGGTTTTAGGCGTGGGCGTGGGCGTGGCGGATGGGAAGAAGCGAAGACAGATTGGATGCAGCAAAGGAACAGCGAAAAAGAGAAAAAGAGAAAAGACTCGGATGGGATAGGAGAGGGAAAGCGAGAGCGAAAAGGTAACTATAGGAGTAGGGTATCATTACCGGGCGGCTGTATGGAAAACTACCTCTTCGCTTCCATTTCAGCGCGTACGTGGCACAGCATTGCTGTAGTAGTCCTGCCTCAATCCTGCTTGCCCCTATCCCGTCCTCTTTCTCGGTGTAAAGCATACAAGTAGCAAAGGCAAGAGACCTGAGAGACTTGTTGGCGGCGGCGACAAACGACATAGTAATTGCTCAAGATGAGAAGCACGGCGAGGATGACGATGGCGGTGATGCTGCTGCTTGTTGAGCGGAGTGCATCATCGCACGGTCCCATCGACGACAGTATCGTTCGAAAGAGCCACAGTGTTGGGGCATCTTCGAGGGAAAGACGAGCGATGAAGAGGCTACTGTAGACAGCTTCTGATGCTTCTGCTTAATTGTAGCGTTGGTATGGTATAGACTTGCGACTGAGCTCTTGGGTGTAGCTGGGCAATGCTTGGCCTGGCTTTTGGATAGGTCGAGGAGCTGATCTATCTTGTGTTCGATGCGCTGTGCAGCGCTTGACGGTGACGAGCAGCAAGCGGCCTGGTCGTGGCGCTGCATTGGCGAAGGTGGCATTGGAATGTCTTGTTCTTGCTCTTGCTCTGGTCCATGTTCTTGATCTGGTTCCTCTTCTCGTTCCTGTGTAGCATCGGCGTAAGAGCTGATAGGATGGTCGCTTTCTTTGGCGGCGGCGCTGGGGGTCTCGAGCTGGGCGGTCAAGTATGTAGCATATGCCTGGGCGGTACGGGCTTCGTCGAGCGCGGTACGGCGGAGATTCTGGTCGTGCTGCCGCTGAGCCTCTAACTGCGTCAGGGTGGTGTCTCGTTCCTCCAGAAGCTCGTAGAGATGGTCAACGACTTGGCGGGTATATTGAAGTTCGCGGCAGCACGTACATGCATGTGATGGGGAGTCTATATAATTGTCAGGGGGAAGAAGAGGGAGCCGTGGCAGAAGAAGGGAAGGAAATGGGAAAAGGAAGGGAAAGCAAACGGAGAGGGTGGTGGAGATGCATTGCCATTGCTATCTGCAAGATACATGTACGCTGCATTGTGACACATGACCAGGACCACGTGACTGTTGGCATGGCAGAGATTTCCACACCATTCCAACCATACCAACGCCAATGCAGTATTGCGTAATGCATTACTCATCGCTGTTCATCGTCGTTGTCGGTGTCGGGGTCGGTGTCGGGGTCGGGGTCGCTGTCGCCGTCGCCGTCGCTGTCGCTGCTGGGACTGTCGTCGCTCACAAACAAAGCATCATCGGTATCGGTATGCAGAGCATAGTGATGATGTGGTGCATGTGCATGTGCATTTGCCAGCTCACGTTCATTTTCCTCGAGCTCATCTCCAGCAGTGATGTCACGTGCATCTGCCAGCTCACGTGCACTGACCCTCTTGCGTTTCTCGGATTTCTCCGTGCCCGGGTCACGTGCATCGTCACTCATACTCACAGCCCTCTTGCGTTTCTTGCCATTGCCATTGCCATTGCCATTGCCTCCACCTCCTCCGCCTCCTCCATTGCCTCCGCCATTGCCTCCGCCATTGCCTCCGTCGTCCACGCTCGTCCGCGCCTCTGCCTTCGCCTCCCATCCTCCATCCTCCTCCGCCTTTCGCTTCCTTGTCTTCTTCTTCCTCGCCGCCGCCTTTGCTCTCGTGGTTCCGCCTTGAGAATGCGCCGACACTTCCGGGAGCATCTCCAGTACCTCGCATACCTTTTTCATGACCAACTGCTTCGACTGTAGCGCTGACGCCGCCTTCTTCCCGCTACAAGCTTTGTCCAGGAGTCGCTTGAAGCCTGCGCGTTCCGGCTGTGCCATGATTTGTTGCACGCCTGCTGGCAAATGGACGTTGACCGTGTACAGCCGGTGTTCGCGCGTTTCGTATGTTGGCAATGGCTGGCCAAGCCGCTGAAAGAGATGGTTGAGACGATCGGCCGGCTTCATCCTGGAACTTCTGACCATCCGCACGCAATACGCATCAGTAGAGGAACTTCGTACGCAGATGAAGGAGTTGAGAATGACAATATACATCTTTTGCAAAGACACTCTGGGCGTACTGCCTGCAGCCTCCCAGACTTGCAGCTTCGCAGCTGTAAGAGACACCCGCAAGCCCGATAACGCAGACCTGCAGTTACAGGCCGATAATGCTGCGACCGCGCGAAGGCGACCATCCGAAGCTTCGTGCAAACGGCTATGCGGTCGTTGTTGGGCTCCAGAAGAGGTAGCTTCCTTTTCTGCTTCTCCTTATATCTCCCTTACCCTCTATCTTTCTCCTTCACTGCCCTTTTCATCCACCACCCACCTACCTATCGGCTCATTAATATGGGCAACCCACGTAACGGCAAGCGCTATCCTACGCGCTCCCTTGCCGCCGATATTGATGACGACGACGACGATCTGACCTACAGCCCTTCCGACAACGACACGCAGGAAAGCCCATCCAAATACCTGCTGGCTTTCGCAGGCCGCACAGCCGAACAGCTTACATCTGGCAGTCGCTTGTCCTTCAAGACTGCCGACAAGACGCTCATGTTTCGCAGAGCCATCACTGAAAGCTTCACCTCTGCTAGCCTCCCGGATGTGGATCAGCTGCTTCAACTGGCTTACGACGTCGGTGTCCCTCTCGCAGCAAATGACCTTACCCACACCTGTTTGACCAAGATTGTCTCATGGATCAAGTCCAATGTCAACTCCAAGTTTACCAAGGGCCTCATCATCGAACAGGACAAAGGCCATGGAAACAAGAAAGTCAAGGTCGCATACGGCCTGCTCCAAGCCACACAAGATCCCAACTTCTCCATCGAGTGGCTCAAGAATGACAAGAAGATGAAGCGCATGCATGAGGCTGCCGGCGGTAAGTGGTTGGATGTGAGCAATCGGAATGCTATGGGCCCGACAGAGCTCGTCGCATCGGCCATGGATCGTCTTGCTCGACAGGCACAGGCGGGAGCCAACAAGAAAGTCAAGCAGCACGCTGACAGTGCTCCTCTCTGGTCTCCGCCTCCACCGGCAGCCCGCTACGCTGCATCTACGCCGCTCGCGATGGATTCTTCTGACGAGTCCCCGAGCGAGGATTCGGATTCAGATTCAGACACCGACAGCGAAAAGTTGACCGTCTTCTCGCCCGCCTCTGCCTACACTACCCCACACACACCATTCTCTACCGCTGTCGCCACCGCCGCCGCATCTTCTGCTGCATACGACATCGTCAGCCCAACACCGGGTAGCAAGAAGGACAAGAAGGACAAGAAGCAGAACAAGAACAACGCCGCCACACCTGGCAATCCTTGGCCATACATTTCGAGCATCTCACCATGTCTTGGATACCTTGAAGGTAGTCCCATGTCTGCCGCCACCACTCCAGTCAAGAAGACACTCAAGGCGCAGAAGGCGAACGTAACTGACCACCCGAACGCCCATTTTGCACGAATGCTGGAGCTTGAGCAAGCCAAGCATCAGACCTCCAAGAAGAAGAAGAAGACCAAATCTGCTGCTGCATCTCCCGCAGACATGGCTGCCAGCAACTACATTTTGCAGACGAACCCAGAGTTTGCTGTTGCTGTTGCTCAAAAGTACACCTCAGAGCTTGATGATGATGATGATGATGATGCTAAAATGTCCAACAAATACCAGGCTCAGGCTCAGGACCCGGCCAGCATCATCAATTCTCCTTTCCTCTTGCAGCTTTTGGCTCAGCAGCAAGCTGCCAAGAACGAACAGCTTGCCGGTAGCCTCGCTCAACAGAACTCGATCAAGAAGGAGAAGAAAGTCGAAGGTGGCGCGATCGTTTTCGGTGGTGGTACGCAGAACAATCCTCCCGTCAATCCTCCGGAGTCTAGCGGTCCTGGCTGCAACACCTCTCAGCCCTCTCTTTCTTCCACTGCCTTGGACGAAGAAGTTACCCGTGTCCATGCTTCTCTCCTTGCCGCTGGTCAATCTTATTCTAAGGACGATGTTCGCGATATGGTTTTGGCTGCCACTGCTCGGAACATTGTTAAGGAGGAGGAGGAGGAGGAGGGGGAGGAGGAGGATGTTGACGAGGAAATGAAGATGTTGCAAGATCAGATGGCTCGGCTTCTAGCTAAGAAGAACGGCGGCAAGGATAAGGGTAAGGGTAAGGGTGAAGCTTCTCCCTCGGCGCTTGCTGAAAACTGAGAGACATAGAAGGTTTAGGTCAGGGCCCATGCATAGACGTAAGTAAGCTGGCAGGAGGAGAAAATCGTCGATGAAAAAAAAAACTACTGATTTGCATCTTATATAAAAGTCTGCGAGCTTATATGCATAGAAGAACCCTGATGAGAATGAACCACATTAAAACCCCAAACCTCAATATCAGCGACAGTCATCCCATATAGGAAGACCGTCGTCTTCATCCAAAAAAAGATTGCCCGTCAAATGGACACGCTCCAAGGCCAAGGTCTCGCTGTTACGGTCGGCTAGACACGCTCTTACGTATGCATCGAGGGGAGGGAACGAGGCTGCTGACGCAGTCGCTGAAAGAAGCTACGGGCTGGAGAGAAGGACAAGATAGGAGCAGCGAGAACGATAAGAGCACAGCTACCAGACGAACTCTACCCTGTTAAGGCTATGCTTTATGAAGAAAGATAGCCGAAGGGATGAGAACGGCGACGCATGAAACTTGCTTTGTGATTATTGTTGGTCGTCGCACTCGGTGCATCGAACGCACCCGAGATGAGTTCTGATATGCCTGTCGCTCTCGCTCTCGCTCCCTCCCGCGTAAGACTGTGATGTGCCGGCGCCGATACACCAAGCACAAAGCTGTTGGGTGGAAATATGCTGCGCCCATACGTGAACGAGTTTGTGGAAATGCTTCGGCCAGCGGTAGAAAACGGGCGCCTCCATCGACCAGGTCTCGAGAAATTGATCAGCAGTCGCCTGGCGAAAGTCGGCGCTCGCCAGACCAAGTTTCAGATTTCGGAGACGGTGCTCACAAGCCGCGGACTCGTCTATACCAGTGCTTCGAATTTCGGCGTACAGAGTCGATGGATCATGGGCCCATGACTTGGTTGTAAAACAGTGGCCGTACAAGTAGCAAGACTCGAGAGAGATGACGGCGTGAGGTGAATTGGGAGGCACAACCACCGACTCCCCGGGCATCTGCACAAGGAAGCACCCATGATCCATTCGGTCGAGGGCTACATTCGTCGGCATTGTGCTGTCGTAGCAGTATCCCAGATGGCGCTGCTCGGTGGAGGGCCACAATAGCCACAGCTTGGCTGGGTAATTGGCGCGATTGGCCAATCCAAAAGCCGTAGAGATATGAGGCTCGCTATCGTGGTGCACTTCTGTCCGAGTACCGCGCGGCGTGATGTTGGCATTGGCCTGGGCGGGTTTGTACCCGTGTTCTTGCAATTGGGGCAGCAGTCGCGCCATAGCGACGCTGGCGCCCTTGCGGAAGGCGTGAGTTGTCTCGGAGTCGATTGATTGACCCAAGGTCGCGTTCAACACCCGCTCTGATACCTCCTGGCCAGCGAGGACTCGCGAGATCCAGTTCGCCCACTTTTCCGCATTGAAATCGTGGGTGACATCGATCTGATCTCGATACACCTGGGTTCCTGCGAACATGGAACCTCTCGATTTCACACGGTGGGAGACGTCCAAGAGCAGGCTCTCCAGTGTAGGCAGGATGTTCAAAGCTTCATCGGAAAGGAGTGCCCATGGCGTATGATGGCGTCGTGGCGCGGGTTGATAGAGCCGCATATTGGGCAGCTTGTTGAGTCCGGCGATACTCCAACCTCCAAGCTCGCTGGGTTGTATGCCACAAGCGGAAAGAACATCGCCGACGCTACGGTATCTCTCGATCGGTGTCGAAGAAGCAGCTGGGCCTGGCCTGGCTACTTCTACATTGGCGTGTTTTCGCTTCATGTGCCGCGACAGATTGCCATGGGCTACTTCTTCGCCGCATATTTCACAGTTCTTGCGAGAGTGGCTCATTACGATGCTGGTGTTGCAGTCTCAATCTGCAAACATTTCGCTTGGAGAGCGCAGCAGTCTTCTTTCGGAATGCGTAGCAGTATCGTGCTGCGTTTGAGGTTGCTTGGACGAGGTGGACGAGGTGGACGAGCGGACGAGGTGGACGAGCGGACGAGGGTGGACGAGCTGGACGAGGGTGGACGAGCGGACGAGGGTGGACGAGCTGGACGAGCGGACGAGGGTGGACGAGCGGACGAGGGTGGACGAGCTGGACGAGGGTGGACGAGCGGACGAGGGTGGACGAGCTGGACGAGCGGACGAGGGTGGACGAGGGTGGACGAGCGTCAAAATCGCGAAGTGCGGGGAGATGCACCAATTTGCCAAGACACGCCTGAGGCACGCACCCACACGCAAGCAGCCTCAAATGTTCACTATCCAACTCCTTCCTTCTGAACACACCGCGCTGCTTCGAGGACCCGGTGGTTTATGCGGAAAGCAGCAGCCACCTGCTACCTTATTGGCAGCGCAGCTGCCAATCTAGACACCGCGCCTACCGCCCGCGAAAATCTAAGTTATCCGCTAAGACTAAAGATTTTAATAAACGAACCCCGAATATAAGCGTAATACGTTAATACAAAATTGGTATAAGCTTAACGTATACTAAAGACCTAGTTATAGCTGTATCCTACTAAAGGCGAAGCCTACCGACTAGTATAAAGGTCCCCGTAGCGATTATTACAATAATAGTTTAATACCCAAAAATAACAAAAGAAAGTAAATTATTTTCTTAAGCTAGTTAACTTATAGTTGAATAAGCTATAACTTTTTTAATATCTTGCTAGAATAAACCTATAAGAGAACTAGATACAGTAGTTATAGCACCTACCTATAGAGACAATAGTAAAACTATACTACTATATTCAATTAGAGGCAAGGTACGTATTGACAAGTAAACTCCCGCTATAACTGTAGTAGCTGTATGTATTAAAGTAGAAACAGGTATAGGTCCTTCTATAGCTATAGGTAATCAAATATAAAGACCTATTTATAAACTTTTTGCTGTCGCACCTATTAATAAATATATACCTCTTAAATTTATTACACTATTTAATATTAAAGGTGCTAGAGAAAATACTATAGACTAGTCTACATTACTAAAAGATTATCAAATAGCAAATATACCTATTATTAAAACAATCTCTAACTCTATTAGTTAAGAACGCGGATAAAGAGCTTTAATTTACAGGTATTCTAGTATATTAAAAACTTACTAGTAAATAAGAATATATACCTACCCCTTCTTATCCTATAAAAATTAATAAAAAATTATTTAAGGTAACAAGTATAATTATTATAAAAGTGCCTATTGCGCCCGGTTACGCCTACTACGCCCGGTTACGCCCACTACGCCCGGTCACGCCCACTACGCCCGGTTACGCCCACTACGCCCGGTCACGCCCACTACGCCCGGCCACGCCCGGCCACGCCCACTACGCCCGGTTACGCCCACTACGCCCGGTCACGCCCACTACGCCCGGCCACGCCCGGTCACGCCCACTACGCCCGGCCACGCCCGGCCACGCCCACCACGCCCGGCCACGCCTACCACGCCCGGTCACGCCCACTACGCCCGGCTACGCCAACCACGCCCGGCCACGCCCGGCCACGCCCACTACGCCCGGCCACGCCCGGTTACGCCTACTACGCCCGGCCACGCCTATTACGTACTAGGAGATATATTAGAATATTTCTATTACTATTACTTATACGCTAAAATAATAGGTACTCTATATATCTACATATTCTTAGTACTAATAGGGCCTATATCTATACCGTCTTCTTAATAATAGAGTATATCCCGACATATATAGTATATATTTAAATCTAAAAAAATAGCTAGTATAGGATTCGAACGACCTCTTAAACCCTATCGATCTTATTACTCCTTTAAGATATATACCTTTATATAGCGGGGACTATATTAAGTAGTATAGCCGGGAGAACTAGGATTGTTAGTAGTTAAGAATCGTACTATGTAAGAAGGGTTATATCAGCAGGTAGATAGGGTGGTGGTGGGTATAAGTAGTATTCGATAGAGAACTAGGAGGAGAAGGAGGAAGGCAGGCCAGTTGGCCTAACGCTAAGCGCTAAGCCCTGCCTAAGGCATTAAGACCCTAGCTTTACTCGAGCTAGTTACATACCAATTACGTGTAGCCTCTAACACACGCTTCCCTTCCAAAGGCCGCGCCCTCGTAGCCTGTCTATGTTCTACGACCTCTATTGCCGCTGACTTAGCAAGTCTAATAAGCTACTTAGCCCGCGCTGAATTGAACACTCAACCACCTAATTATGTAACTATGTTAAACCTTACCTCTAATACAATACAATGTCCAACTCCAACTGCGCTATCCTTATATACAATAAAGTAAAGGGGCATAAGGCTACAAGAATTGAGGACTATCGACTAATTACAACACGAGCGCACCTTCCCTACTGCAATAGGTAGGTGTACGGGGTATTGCAGCACTGCCTCCGCTCTAAGTAATGTCGTACCGAGTTCTTTGCGTCTACTCTTAAAAGACCTAGCAATGTCCGCTTCCGAGGGTTGTCCGCTTCCGAGGGTTTGTTCTTGTTATTACGAGGGCTATTATTTACTTTTCAGAAAAAACACAGCTCGTCTAGTTTCTATAGGTGAAGGCTATTGTAAGTGCAGTAGTTAAGGTTCGCCTCGCTTAAAGGGTTAGAAAGATCGAGGAGTAACCTATTGTCCGCAAGATCGACCCCGGCTAGCTTAGCTCTATAGTTTTGCCCTTAGTTAGTCTATTGGTCGCTCAATCTTTTAGGCGGCTTAAAGTTTTGACTTGGCCTCAAAGTTTTAATTAAAGTTTTGATCAAAGGTGCCTTAGGCTCGTAGTGTAGGTAAGGTTGTGCCTGCGGCGCAGCGGCAATAGCAAGTAATGTTGACAATGGCGGCGCTAACCGTCTTAGCGCTAACTTCACCTTGCTTCTAATTCCCTTCTTCGACCGGCGACGCTTCAACTAGCGACACACTCCGCAATACCGTTACTAATATAGCTGTGTCCTTCCTTTCTTAATAGAAGCACACTCCGCAACACTGTTACCAATATAGCCGCGCCGGCCGCGCCGTCCTCGCCGATTGCCTAGGCCTCGAGGCCTCGATAGAATAAGGGAACAAGAGGGGGACCTGCAGGGCGCGTTAGTAAAGAGGTGGAGCCCTTAAAAGAGTATACGATTGATTGATTGACGCGTCGTAGCGCGCCTAGTATAGTCTTATTGTCCTGGTTTGCCGGCCTCTGATTGGTTAGCTAATAGCACCCCGGGGGTGGCATTGTCCTAGGCCTTAATAGTAACATTATAAGCTTTTGGCCTTCTTCTTGTTCTTTACGCTAGTCCAATACTTATCTAACAACTCGGTTATATCCTTAAAGGAACCTTCAGCTTCCTACGAGTCCTATTTAGGTGAATAGCCTTGCTACCTTAGGAGGTATTCCTTCTTGCCTTTCCTAGTCCGGTGCTATAGGATACGTTCTATAGACTACAGTTCTTTACTATTAGCTAAGACTTCTTCTAACTTAGCAGGCGCTTCGTCGCCTTCGCGTTGATAGTATAGCTTAAGGAGGGATATATAGAAGGTATTATAGATAGTGTAATAGGGTAGAAGCTATAACTAGTAGGCCTATATGCCCTTCGGTTCTCGGATACGGAATAGGCCAATGTATCTTAGTGCGAGCTTAGGCCTTGTTTTGCTATCGGGTAATAGGTGTTTGCGGATGCGGAGATTCTTTGTACTAAGTATAACTATGTCGCCTTGCTTGAAGGTTATTAGAAGGTAGTGTTTGTTATAGTAGGCCTTCTAATAGGCCTAGGCCTTCGCTAGTTTATTAGCTATCTTAGCGTGAATTTCTCGCATCTTTTGAACCCTCTTAATAGCCGCTAGTGTCTCAGGTTAACCCGCTTCCCTTTCCTTGCGCTCGGCCTCGAGCGATAGGGGGTCTTATAGCAGCGCAGGGTTGCTTCCTATTATAGCGAAATAAGGTAACACCTTAGTAGATAAGTGGATACTGTTGTTATACACGAATTCGGCTAGTTATAGGAGATTGACCTAATCCTTAGGGTTGTCGTTAATGTAACTACGTAGGTACTACTGCAGGGTAGCATTCTGTCTCTCTGTTTGACCGTTAGTCTGTAGATAGAAGGCTATTAATAGCCGATGCTTCAGTCTTAGCTATAGGTATATTTCGCTCTAATAGTGCGATATGAATATCGAGCCCCTATCGGAGACTATCCCCTTAGGGGTCCCCTAATAGCTATAGAAGATGTTGTTCTATAGTGCTTTAGCTATATCAATAGCCGTCTAATCCTTCCGAGCAGGAATATAGCGAGCACCCTTAGTAAATCGGTCTATAACGACTAGTATAGCGTTAAAGACGTCCTTGCTTCCTCTTCGCTTAGTAGGGGGAAGTGTTAGAATACTCGGGAATGTACGAGTCTAGTTGGATTTATAAGCAAGAGAAGGAGAAGGAAGTTGCGAGGTCATTCACTTACGGCTTAGTAATAGCTTGTGATTCTTGGCGCTAGGGTATATAAGTAGCTAGTGAGTCCTTTGTTCGAATAGCAAGCAATTCTATCGGTTTACCGCTTATCTACAACAGTTATGAGCCCGGAACGCAAGTGAAGAAACAAGAAAGTTCGAGAAATTACCCGATCAGGCAACCCGCTTGCGCAAGGTTAAACCTTATCCGACGTCACTCCGCAAATCGAAGAAAGCGACCAACTTCGAACAACAATAAGATAACGGTTATTGCTCCGCTATAGACGCCGGTCCATAGGCGAAAAGAACCGATTAATACGAATCAAACGATCTAAAAATATCAACGATACGACCGTTACGAGTCGAGAAATCTAACGATAAAGATGTCTACTACCGAGACGACTATCGGCGCGGTAAAGGGAATTCCGCAACTTACTACCGAGAATTATACTATCTGGATCGATCTAATTTAAGACTATCTATCCGGACAAGGCCTTTGGAGGTATAGGTACGGTATACCGGAATCTATAAGCCAAGATACGGCTAAAGCAAGAGAGGCTAAAGAAGAAGACGCAAAAGCGGTTGCGTTTATTAAGTCTACGGCCGGGGATAAGCGTATACACCTCCTAGGACTACGTACGACTAAGGAGGTAATCGATAAGATAAAGGAAGTAAGCGAGGTATCGACAAAGGAACGGGTTTCGACGCTACTCTCCCGTTTCTATTCCTTTAAAGCACTTAAGGATATCGATACTACGGCTTCAGCTCTTACGCAAATCCAATCCGAGATTAAGGCCGCGGATAAAGACGAAGTTCCCTCGGAGGCCTCTAAGAAGGCAGTCCTTATTTCGTCCTTAGGAGAAGAGTATTCGTCTACCGTATTCGCCTTAAAGGCGGCCGGTTTATCTACTCTTTCCTACGAGGAACTAGTTCAGCGACTACGGGACGTTGAATATACTATTACTACTTCTAAAGGCGACGAAGTAGTAGCCCGATATACTAAGGAAGCAGCGAAAGATAAGGCCGGTAACGGAAAGAAGGGCAATACGACTAATACGCCTAACAAAGCTAAAGGAAAGACGTGTTACTATTGCCAAAAGGTCGGGCACTTTAAACGGGACTGCAGGAAGTATAAATGGGACCAAAAGAACGGAAAAATCCAAGAGAATAATAAGGAGGAATCAAAGATCGCGGCTTGGACAGCTATCGATTCTACGACTCGACTATCTAATAAGGGGGATTGGATCCTAGACTCCGGATGCACTAGACATATGTCTAACGACAAGAACTACTTTACGGACTATAAGGAAATAACCGGAAAAGTTACTCTAGCGAACGGTAAAACAATAAAGGTCGCGGGATCCGGTATAATCCTCGTCCGGTTTAAGGGAATTCCGACTACGATTCCGGACGTTATATACGTACCGGAGATCGGTTATAACCTGCTTTCGATAAGCCAACTCTCGGAACGAGGTATTACGACTCTATTTACTAAAGAAGGGGCTATACTTCGAAGAGGAAACGAAGAACTAGCAAAAGGAGTACGCGTCGGAAGGTCCTACGTTCTAAAGGAATCCGAGTCTATCGGGACTTCGAGAATAGCTACTACTACGACTAAAGGTACTACGCTACTTTGGCACCGACGCCTAGGACATCCGGGAGACGAAAAACAACGAAACGTATATAAAGTACTACTAGGAGTCCCGGAGCTTTCGACGTTAAATAAGTCTTGCGAGACTTGTATTACTACGAAGTCCGATAGACGACAAAGTCGAGAAGAACCCGAAAAGGCAGACTATTGCCTAGATAGGGTATATATCGATTTTTGGGGTCCGTATAAGTATAGTACCTTAGGAGGAAACAGGTATATACTAACGATTACGGACGACGCTACGAGACGGTTAGATATCCGTCTTACTCGCTATAGAAGCGACGTATACGAAGCCTTTAAGGCTTGGAAAAACGAGGCCGAACTCGAAACCGGGAGAAAACTAAAGGCCGTAAGAATCGACAACGCTCCGGAGCTTATTAAAGCTCTTAAGGCCTATTCGGGACTACGAATCGAAACAACGACGCCCTATACTCCGGAACAAAACGGAGTAGCAGAGAGACAAAACCGTACTATTATAACTAAGGTACGGGCAGCTTTAGAAGGGTCCGGATTACCTAAACGATTTTGGGGCGAAGCGGCCTATACGGTTACCTATTTACATAATAGGCTACCTATTAAAGGAAAAGATATAACTCCCGAGGAGCTCTATACCGGAAGAAAGCCTAGCGGAGAACACTTACGGGTATTCGGCTGCCTAGCCTATCCGTTTATTCCTAAAGAGAAAAGGAAAGACAAGCTAGAAAAGACGGCATTCCCGGGAATCTTCGTCGGATATACGAAGTCTACGAAACAGTATAGGATCTATAATCCTAAGACGGACGCTATCGGGATCTATACTAGCGTTAAATTCGACGAATCGACTAAGGGAAGTAGCCTACTATCCGGAGAAGAGCTACCTACCCTACGGCCTATTACGGACAACGACGACGGAGATATCGATATCCTAGATAAAGGAGAGTCTCGAGAAGTAGAGGAAGTAGAGGGAGACTCCGAAGCCGAAGATAATACTACGAAACCGCAAGACGAAGAAGACGGTTTAAATAAAAACGACGACGAAAGGTCTACTACTCCTACGGCTTCTACTACTACGGATTTAAACGAAGGGGAACTACGAAGGTCTACGAGGGTCCCTAAAGCACCTAAGAGACTAAGGGACGAAATAGGGCTAGCAGCTCTAAAAGTCGACTATCGAAAGGCTTTCGAAATACCTACCCCCGAGACCTATACGGAGGCTATTACCGGCCCTTACTCCCGACAGTGGAAAGACGCTATTAAAGAACACATCGAGTCCTTAACGGCTAACAATACCTACGAGATTGTCGACTATCCTAAGCCGAAGGACGGAAAAGGGCAAACAAACGTTATTACTCCGAAATGGGTTTTTAAAGTAAAAATACTACCGAACGGACAAATCGATAAATTTAAGGCGAGATTAGTAGGAAAGGGCTTTACGCAACGCTACGGAATCGATTACTTTGAGACGTTTTCTCCGGTAATACGTCTCGAAAGCCTACGCCTTCTCCTAGCTATCGCCGCTAGTAAAGGACTTGCTATATTCCAAATAGACGTAGTAAGTGCCTACCTACTAGGAGAACTAACGGAGGAAGTCTACCTAGCTATCCCGGAAGGCCTAGATGTTCCCGGAACTAATAAAGTACTTAAACTCCTAAAAGGAGTACCGGGACTAAAACAATCCGGACGGGTTTGGAATAAGACTATTACGGCCTTCTTTGAAGAATACGACCTCTACGCTATACCCGCGGATCAATCGGTCTTCGTTAATAGCGACTATACGCTAATAGTCGCGTTGTACGTCGACGATCTTATTATACTAGCGAAGACAGAGGCGGAGGTTAAACCGCTAAAGGACGGGCTTATACAGAGGTTCGAAATGAAGGATCTAGGTCCCGCTAAGTTTATACTAGGCGTACGAATCGAGAGAGAGGCCGACGGATCTATACTACTAGATCAAAGGCACTATATCGAAAATACGCTTAGAGAAGAGGGCTTAGATCTAGACGAAACCTTCCGAGTATCGACTCCGGCAAACGGATATACGAATTTACTACCTATAACAAAGGACGAGGAGGTAGTAGACGTCCGGAGATACCAACGACTTATCGGAAAACTAAATTGGACCGTACGAGCTACGAGGCCGGATATATCTTTTCTAACGCAGAGACTAAGCCAATCTACGGTAAATCCGGCTAGGAGACACTACGACGGAGGTATCTACGGCCTTAGATACCTAGGGAACACTCGGGACTACTATATAAAGTATAGTCCTATCCCGAAGAACGAAAACAATACGAGTACTCTAGTTACTCGTCTACCGGTTATCTATACCGATTCGGATTACGCGGCGGACTCAACTAGGAAGTCAACGATGGGATATATATCCCTACTAGCCGGAGGACCTATATCTTGGTCTACTAAACTACAAAGGTCCGTAACGACTAGTACTACGGAAGCCGAATACTTAGCGCTATCCTACGCCGCAAAAGAAGCTATTTGGATCCGAAATTTCCTCGAGCAAGTCGGATACCTTACGGAAGACGACTATAAAGAACCTACGATTATCTACGGGGACAATAAGGCGGCTATCGCTTTAGTACGAAATCCGGAATTTCATTCTAGAACGAAACATATCGACGTAGCGGCACATTACGTACGAGAACTAGTCGAGGACAAGCTAGTCGATATAAAGTATATTCCGACAAAGGACTAACTCGCGGACTTCCTTACTAAGCCCCTAACAAAAGGGAAGTTCGAAGAAAACGTAAAAAGAGTCCTAGGGACAATAAAAACGATTAAGAAGGATTAGGACTTAGCTATTTGGTTTACGGCTAAATAGCTAAGTAGAGGGAGTGTTAGAATACTCGGGAATGTACGAGTCTAGTTGGATTTATAAGCAAGAGAAGGAGAAGGAAGTTGCGAGGTCATTCACTTACGGCTTAGTAATAGCTTGTGATTCTTGGCGCTAGGGTATATAAGTAGCTAGTGAGTCCTTTGTTCGAATAGCAAGCAATTCTATCGGTTTACCGCTTATCTACAACAGGAAGACCTGTAATAAAGTCTATTATAAGCTCTATAAAAGGCTTCTTTAGAACAGGGAGTGAAGACAACTCGCTAAATAGTAAGTGCTTTAGTGCTTTAACTCGTTAATATACGGCACACGTATTTACGTAGTCTTTTATGTCCCGCTTACTATTTAGCTAGTAGTATATACGCGATAGTAGCTCGTACGACCTCTCTATACTATAGTAACCGGTAAGCTCACTATTATAGTATCGCTTAAGAAGTTCTTGTCGGATCGAATGCTCGGTAGGGACATAGAGCCTGCCCTTATAGCGCAAATGGCTATTAGCATCAATCGACCAATTCTTGCTAGATCTAGTCTTACGGCCACTTCCAAGCTGATCTATACGAGCAGTAGCAAAAGCGTCCCTTTGCTAAGCACGTAATAGCTTATCTATAAACGCTCGTCTATCCCCTTCTGCAAGTTCGCTTAATAGTACCCTCGCTGTCTTGCGTAGTACGTACTGTATGCATCTAGTAGCACTAGCAGCCGGATTAACTGCAGCAGTGCTATCGCTGTTACTATATATGGCGATGTCGACTAGGGAGTTATTATAACTTCTCCTGTCTATGTCCTTGACACGCACTATCAATATAGCAAGAGCATTAACATGCTTTAAGCCGTCGCGGAGTCCGGTAAGCCGCTCATCCTGCGCTTACTTATTAACAATACGGGCTATAGCAATCTTATGCTACAGGGTTGGAAACAATAAATTAATGGATTGCTGAGTCCCGCTGTCGTAATTAGGTCGCCTCGATGGGCTATTAGTAGGGTTACTTACGCCTAGCCGATATAATATATCAAAATTAAACCTAGCGAGGTAGACGGCCTATCTAGCCTATCGACCTATGACTCTAGTGACCTTAGTGATACCACGGAGGTTGTTGTGGTCTATATAGACCTGTATCGTATGTTAGGCCCTATCGAGGTAATGCCTCTAATGCTTAAAGGCCTCGACAATAGCTAAGAGCTCTTGCTCGTAGGTCTCGTAGCGACGCTTAGTATTAATCATCTTCCTCGAGAAGAAGGCAATCGGGTACTAATAGTAGTCCTTGTCCGATTGTTGTGACATAATAGCTAATACAGCAAACTGTAAGGCGTTAGTCTCAATACGGATCTGCCTATTTAGTACGAAATGGTGCAATAAGGGGACTTTAGCAAAGCGCTGCTTCAAACCGTTA